GGACCATTTCCCCATAACACTAAACTGGTTCTAAAACAATCTTCATGTTAAAAAAATCCAAGCTATATAAAAAAGAACAGTTCTGCCATAAAATAAATAAGTTAAAAACAGCCATGTTGGAGGGGAATGGGGGAAGGAAGGAAGTTAAATAAGACCCAGCTCGGGCTAGCCTGATTACCCTCCTCAGTTCAATCTTCCCTTTTATATATCTATGACTGGGGAAGGGGGACAAAGGTAGACAAAGGACAATTAAGTCTAACTTATTTAGGTATCTATTTTCTAGCATGGATGTTTTTGTAGATACAGTATCTTTCTATGACTGAACTTGTTTTTCCTAATTAGTATTTTTCATATGAATGTTCCGGTTCTGACCTTTTAGCGCTGGTGGTTGTTTGCTTTGAAAATTAGTTATTTCAATAGGAGGAGGAATGGCCATTTTAATGAGTGTAACCTCAGTAAGATTTGAAGTCTCTACTCATGCAATGCAAGAAGCACTTTTTCAGAGAACTCACGTCTTCTAATTATGAGCCACAGATATTGCAGATGCGCTAAAATAGTTATAGGAGGATTCTTGCTGCTGTTCTATGTCTACAACAAAGGTACTGAGTATTACAAGTTTTTGGGATAGATCCTGGGCCCTATTAAGAGTTCTTGTCAACAATCTGATGTGGCAAAGCAGCTTTACGAGTGGTTTAACCAGCTAGCTGCTGATTCTCCCTCTATTAGGAAATTTTTGGTTGGCCAGAGCTACGAGATCCCAAAGGCTTCTGGTGTAGGAAAGTTATCCAGAGCAGTCTTGTGCTTCAGTGATCTCAGCTGCCAGATCTGCCCCTTGGGCTCATGGGCAGCCAGGCATAACTTAGAAAAGCCTGCTCTAAATTATGCTGGATTGGTTTCCAACTGGCCCCATGACGCATGGGCCATGAAGGTACTTTCAGTGCACCTTTGCCTTCCCAACCCCTCAGCTGCACTCAGCGTATTTCACCCATAGCTGAGCATCTAGTCCATTGAATACAAAGGGCAGTGGAGTTCAGTGAATCTCTTCTTTAGTTTATGTTCAATTATGAATGCAGCATTTCATGAAATTCAGACTTAATTTACTGTGTTTTTGGTTTGTCAATAAAATCAAGTATTCTACTCTATAAATTTATACACAAACTGGGTTTTTATAACCGTGATTACACATGTGAGGTTTTTTTAGTGCTTAGATGTGTGCAAAAATACAAAGAATAAAGATTCAGGGTATATTATTTTAGAGTGATATCCCAGAAGACCTATCAGGGCCTTAATTCTGTGACATGCTGCATGCTTTTAACTTCCATTGAGTCCAGCTTCCTCCCCCACCAAGTTAAGATGATTGTATATTATTGTAGAGGGATTCAAAATATAATATAATCTTCGTTTTTAGTCAATGATATCGTGTATGTTCAATTTCTCTCAAAGTAAAAATTGAGTTTGATCAATATGCCAATAACACTGAGAGGAATCAAGCTATTGTTCACAAAAGCAGTGAGTGATTCATGCTGTTTAGCATTAAACAAAAGAAAAGCTATATTCCAGTTATAAGCTTACACAGCTTCTTGAGGTAGGGACCAGAGCTGCCACCCACAGTTTCTCCCCTTAAGCCCTTACCATAATCAGGCTAGAACACGTTGCCCTGTAGCTCCCCCAGGTGAAGGATTACAGTTAAAGACAAGGGAACATTTCAACAACTTTCTGCAAATATTTCCTTGGAGGAAATAAAGAATTTGTATCACCTGCGTTCACACCCCTCTTCTGTCCTCATTCCCTTAATATTTTGGTTAATGAGATTGCCTGGGGGCAGGCAAGGGAGAGGGAAGTGTTCACAGAAATATGAAAGGACATTTGTGGAAAGCAAACTTCAAACTCAAATGCAAGTATTTGCACCAACAGCCTGATTCTAAGACTTACACTCCTCCAATTGGGAGAATAGAAACAATCCCATGTGACTTATCTCCAGTCAACATGATCCATGCCAACTCACTTTTCAGATGTTGAACAGATGAAGTGAATTGCTACTGCACAATTTTAAGACCAAGAATTATTTACTGTGAATAATAACAAATCACTGAATAATTTGAAATAAGTGTATAAAACAATTCAAAGAGGCTCAGTTACTTGAGTGACTTGTTTACTCCTAATTACAGTACACAACTGTACATCTTTTCCTTCCATGTGCATTGATATTTTGGGGTCTCCTGCTTTGATACTCAGCATATATTGCTAACTGGATGTATTGGAATAGATTTATTAATCCAAGACCTGATGATTTGTAGGGGCTGCAAAAGGCAGGGGTCTGTATGACTTATATTTGACTATGCTGTTTCCATGGAGTGTCATGTAGTGGGAGTGATACAGAGATATTTCTTTCTTCTCTGCAATTTACACAGGCTGCACTTTTATTTATCTCACAGTGACTTTACAAGAGCAAGGCATGCCCCTTTCCCCTGAGACAATTAAGTTGCAATTTCCTCTCTGGTGTTTTCAGCAGTGCTGTTCTCTGTTGTCTGTAAACTGATGCAGACTGTGCCGACTGTCTTCTCACTAGATTAAACATGGATAATATCATGCCCACGCTCATCATTACATCTATGGTATTAAGCCCATGCTCCCTTAACCCATCTTTATGCCCACAAGAGCTTCATACTATTCCTTCCTTAAAACAATGCTAGAAACTCTACTATTAAATAAAGGGGAACAACAATGAATCTTGAGAAGGAGTGGAGTAGAAAACAAGAGAGAAGCTTCAGAGGAAACAGGAGATGGTGGAAGAGCAGAGGGCCAAAGTTTAGAGTCAAGGAGAAGGGAAAATAACCAAGTGGGTAAGGGAGAATACAATGGATGGGAGAAGAGGAAAGTGCTCTTTCTCACTGCTTCTGAAGTTCTTAGGGACACCTAAAAATGGGTGACAGAAGGGAGCACTGAGATCGGAGAAGATACAAGTGAAACCTCCCCGTCTCAGACCACATGCCAATCTAGTCTTATTTGCTGTTCAGGAAAAACCTCCAAAAGTTCTTGGAACATGAGATAATCTGAGAGGCTAGCTTTCCCCACTCCTTTTATTTCTAATAAAAATATACATTGATTATTCTGAGACAATTCTTGTTTCCTCTGTATTACATAAAGAGGCTATACATGGAATAAGAGGAGGCAATACATCAAGTCAATATAGGGGGATTTTCTTTTCAAGAAATTTAGCAGACACTTAGAACTCAGTATGCATTTGTTCAAATTTAATAGCCCTTACACCAATATGTTACAAATAAATGTCAGCTCTGACGCAAGCCCATTTGCCCCTCCATTAATGTCAATATACTGTACAGTATTTCTGTTGTTTTCACTGATCTGTATAGGAGCCCTCTGCTGGCTAATTTATATGTGACAGAAAGATTCTGTGTTGTGTTCGTGGATAAAGGATTTAGTTTGCCTTGGGACTGGTGAGCACAAGTCTTGTTGGAGTTTTTTATTCCAACTATCGTACAAAATTCGGATAGAAAAATAGATACCTTAGTAGTTTTGGTAAATTGAGCAGCAAAATGCTATCTGAAGATATTGGACTGAAACACTGAGTACTGTATTCTGTCATGTGCTCTTGCAAGTAAATACGTAAGAGAGACTTCTATAAAAATGTGTTTCCAAATGTAATTGAGCCTTTCAAGCAGAATATAATTTTTTTAAATTGTAGTCCTGTCTACATAAAAGTATTCTTTCCACACACACCAACTTGTTGGGAGGAAACAAGAACTTGCCAAATATTTATTTGCAGAATTTCTCAAAGTCCTTCCATGTGTAAAAAGTGCTTTCTGACGTTTAGAGAGAAGCAAACTAGCAACCACCTTTAAATAATTGCTTTCATTCTGTATAAAGAGTACTCAGTTGATCCATAATGGTTTCATCTCCAAAATAAAGATTGTAGTTATAGACATCTTATTTTACCAGAATAGGAATACCTAGTAGAGCTGATTTCTCAGCACTGCATCAAATAGAGCAGGGATCAGCAACCTTTGTCACCTCAGCCCACGCCGCTTCCCGCAGCCCCCATTGGCCTGGAACGGCTAACCGCGGCCAGTGGGAGCCGCGATCAGCCAACCTGCGGATGGTGTGGGTAAACAAACCATCCCAGTCCACCAGCAGATTTCCCTGATGGGCCGCATGCCAAAGGTTGTCAATCCCTGAAATAGCGGTATGAGTAAAGAAGGGGCAAGAACAGGAGATATTTGGCTCTAGTTTAGAATTCAGATCCAAATGCATCAGGAATTACAAGAGGCTCTTTTGAGGTTTCAGATTAGGGGACTGGGCAAAATCAGCTGTAAGGGTGGGTTTCGATATGGGAGTCTTAATTCAGTATGGTAGAGGATTAAGACCTGAGGTTTGAGTTCACTGCTAGATATGAAAAATTCTCCCATTTTGGATTCACTGAATACCTAATATTAGGTCTTAAATTTCCTTGTATACCAATGATGAATCTTTATAATAAGATATCATACTTTTTGTGATAAATTAGCTCAGTGAATAACAATGCCACTTTATTAGTACTTTCCTTGAGATCACACCACAGGGGTGAAGTCCTCGGCTATAAAACAAGCAATGTATTTTTTTTAACAAGAGTGCTACTCGTGTTGGATTTGTGCTCAGCTTCCTGATTTTCTCAGTTTCAGCAGTGATGATCACACAATCAGAGCTCAATGACTAATAAGTCCTGTTCACATCTAATATGCTGTGTTTGGATCTGGACATATTATATGTATGGCAGCATACCTTCCTTTCTGAAAAATATGAACCATGCTAAATATCTGTACATGGAACTTCCTATACAAAACACATCTGTATAAATTCTGCTGAATTTACACTGTTTAATATAATCATCTAGTAATCAAGTTGTATAATAAGGAAGTCCATATAACTTTAGTATATTTCCTGTGATCAAGCTGATTGTCATAGCTTTTTTGTTTTGTTTTGGTTTCTTTGCTCCAGGCAATCCAGCAGGAGACTCTTGTGGAAAGACCTGTTTTGAAGAGAGAGATAATCAATGGCTGGGTGTCAGCTTGTCCAGGCAGCCAAGGGAAAATGGAACCATTGTTGTATGTATTGCCTTAAGTACCGTATGCCTTTTGTCATACTACCTTCACAACTTTTACATTTTCCTTTCGCATCTCGTGTTGGTTTTTTTCTTTATATATACAGGCATGTGGACATAGGTGGAAAAATATATATTACATAAAAACTGAACACAAACTCCCTAATGGCGTTTGTTATGAAATCCCTCCTGATTTTCGAACACAACTAAGTGAAAGAATAAGTCCTTGCTATAAAGGTAAGCAGAGAGTTTGGTGATTTCTAGGGTTTGATAAGATAACATCCTACTTGATTTGAGGAAATAAAAGAACAGATATGCCCCTGAAAAAAAGAAATGAGCTGGGGGTTGTGGACACTTTAAACTGTTTCTTGTCTGCCCCCTCCTCCCACCTGCCCTGGGTACGCTTTCTGCTATCCAGGGCCTGCAGTGTGGGTTCTGAAGACAGAAATCTGGCCTATGGACCAAACTTTCTGGTGAAATTTTGATCACTTTGAAATAATGTTGATTCAACAGCTGAAAAGGGCAACCAATATTTACTCAGTGGGCTGGTCCCCTGCAGGGCCTATTTTCTTTATAAATAGGCCAGTGCAGGCTCAGTTCATCTCTTTGCTCCATCCACCAGCTAGGCATATGGAGCACAATGTCTGAGTTGACTAGAAACAGCATCCTCAACTGGCTGTTGTTCCCTCTTCCTGAGCATCAGACAGACTGTTCCCAGTAGCAGCCAGTGCTGCCTACCGCCCCATTCCTGAGTCTAACACCTGCCAGGCCTAATCTCTCACCCAACTTGTAGCCTGCAGGAAGAGGCCTCCCTCGGTGCCCCTGTGCAATCTACAGGGGAACAAGAGTGAGAGCAGGATGGGACCCAAGATGGGAATGGTGGCCTCAGTGCCCCCCAGCAACCTACCAGGGGATCCCCAGCTCCTATGGTACTTTCCCCAAACCTGAGGGAACAATATGTCAAAATATTTAGTGATCCTATCCCCAGTTGAGGCAGGGGAGAGCAGATAATCTGGCCTTCCCACAGAGAATGATGTAGAAACTCCTTCCAGCATCCATCCCCGGGAATCAAAGACAGCCACCGGCTGGATCATCCTTCCACCTCTCATGGTTACTGGGTGAAGGGAGTAGGAGGCGGGTAAATGACGGGTGAGTGTACATGGGAGTGAAATGAAGGAGAGACTGAAGGGAAAGTGTTAGTAAAGAAAAGTAAGATATTGGAGTTGGAAGAGCATGGATATAAGGAGCCTTGCAGAGGAAAGACAAACAGACGTAGGGAACTGAGACTAAAAACATGAGAAAGGAAGGATAAAAAATGAAAGAGATGGAAAGTGGGAACAAGACACTGGTATATCCAATGGAGGAGCTCTTCCAAAAATCTAATGGAGCAGCAGGAGAAGGCAAAAGAAGCCATGGCTGACCATAGATACGAGCAATAGTTTGATTATTACAGCTCTAAACTGTACATGTACTGGATTCCCAGCAGCGATGCATGGCATAGGCATCATGAGAACTCCAGTTAAAGTAGTTATTTCCATCGAAAGTATGGCTGGAGTTGTAAAAGGGGTGGGAAGAGGAGTGTTAAACCTACTAGCATTTGTTATTCAAGCACTGTGTATAGTGATGTTTCACTTTGACGTGCTGTTTTCATGGACTGACATGTATTAAAGGAGATTGTCACCTTTTTAGAATAGCTAAATTCAGGCTTCAAAACCTAGCTCCAATCAAGTGATGCATTTTGAATGGGACAATTTTCTCAAGTCCTTTATTATTCTGGTATGAAGTTGAAGTCCATGTACTATTTCCAACAGTAGAAACCAGTTCTTGTTACTTATCTCTACTCTCATTTCAGAGAGCTGCAGAGGAATTCTGAAACTCTCTATTTTTCAAGATGATTGTAGACTTTAAATCATTTTTGCTTTTTATATTCAGATTATGTGCGAAAATTTGGAGAAAACCATGGGTCATGTCAGGCTGGGATCTCTAGTTTTTACTTTAAGGTGTGTATTAAAAAATCAGTTTCCTATTTAATTATTTCCTGGAGAACATCGTACATTTGTGCATAGTCATGATATTTCGTCTTTTTTAAATGAAATTTATTAAAGATAAGAGTTTTAGGTATATAATAATTTTCAAAATGCCAAAACATAATTTATCATGGCACTCTATTTTAAATCCAAAATTCCTTTTTATTTTGAAAGGAAGTGAAGAATATAATAGAGCGTATTTTTTATTATTCCATTCAGAATAACCTATTGAAAGAACTATTAAACACTAATAAGGCTTACATTCTGTATATAAAGAGCGATGTACATTTTTATGTTCTACCTGAGAATATGATTTCTAAAATATTCTGCTGAGGGGGAAGATACCTTGTTTCTGGTTTTCTTTAAATTGCTCACCGCTCAAAGCTTTTAGTAGGGAAATAATAACCATTTTTAAAAAATGTAAAACATTTTATATGTGATCTGATTTTAATGCACTGATATTGAGCCAAATACATCTCCAGTGTAATTCCATTGACTTCAGGGGAGTTATACCAGGAATGAATTTGACTCATCATGCTTATCTTTAAGAGTTTAATACATAAACATAACACTTTTTCTTTTCTCCAGGATTTAATTATAATGGGAGCCCCAGGATCATATTATTGGACTGGTTCTGTCTTTGTGTACAATACCACTGCGAAAACCTCTCGAGCTTATACAGATTCGAGGAACCAAGTAAAATTTGGAAGTTACTTAGGTATTTAAAATATTTTTATTCATCTGTTTCGTTAATTCCCTGGTCTATACAACTGGGTGTGAAATGTCATCCTTGTTACAACTCAGAGTGGCAATATTGCAGACCTGTCTTGTGATTCTGAGTGTGATGTTAATCTTTTTAAAATCTCACTTTTATTCTGTGTTCCTCTACATTCTTCTCATCTGAATTGCCTCAAACATTTATTTCTGAATTGCTTTATCTTCATTTACAATAATTTCTAGTCTTATTTGATTTAAAAGAGTGACAGTTCACACTGCACACTTAAGACTGCTCTGTTTGTAAGGACTTTGATCATAAATGGTTTGTAGACTTCACTCAGCACTGCAGTAAGCAGATTTCATGCAATATTTAAATGTTTAATAACAGGCTTAATTATGGCTTTGCCATGAACTTGGAGTAAGGGGTTGTGTGTTATTGTCCTTCCGCATGGACAGCTGGGAGGGGGATTGTGACTCAAACAGTCACAGGCTTCCTCCTGCTTCTCCTGCTGATCCAGGGAAGGAGTAAACTGCAGTAGGTCTCTGTACTGAACAGCACACACGTTTCCCAAAGCACTGGTCGGCGGGTTGGGGCAGCAGAGAAGGTCTGCCCAGTCCCCACCCCAATACATCCCATCCTGCCAACCATCTGAGAGTCCCCCCCGCACTGCTTCTCCTGTGGTGCCCCTTCATGCCATGCTAGCTGAGTCACAATTTATTCCTTGCCCTGGGCTTCCAAGTGTGTCCAATCTCCTATATTTCTGTCTTTTAGGTTGCAGTTTCTTCAGGGCTGATTCTGAAGTCATTTTGTATATTTTTACAGTGCTAAGCACATTGTCAGCACATAAATAACAATAGTATTACCAATTGAGGAAAGTATATTTTGTGACCAGCATACAATTCAAAACAGACTACTGTAATTAATCTATATGCTTTCACTATCCTTTCTTCTGGCAGTGATCAATGATTGGTCTCTGCTTTATAGAGTTATTGTTTTCTTAATAGCCAATGTGGAGATTATGGCAATCTGGAGTTTTACAGGAGAAGAACATGAGAAATGCGTGTTGTAGGGTTTGATTTCAAGCTGGAGGGAAGAAAGGGGTTTCAGTACCAGCCCCCTGAGGAAGAGAATACACTGGGAAAGAGAAGTCAGTGAATAAATAATGTTTGACAGGATTTCCTTAGCTGTACTTGAATAGCTCTAATTACAATAATAAAAACAGGATGAAATTGTTTTAAAACAGGATGTGGTCTCAACATTTTTAGCCACTTTCTTGGTGGTTTTAAATTATAATGATTACCATTTTGAAAGAAGTTGGTACAGTATAAAAGATCTGAACTTAGGTATGTATATGAATACATTCTAGACATGCATCTTAATGAGTTAATTTATAATTATCAGAAGTTTAACTCCATCTATGCTTCCTCTTATAGTCCAGTATACATTTTTAATTGCACTTGGTCTTTCTATTTCCATACTTCCTGTAGGGTAAGCCTAATGGGGAGGTGTTTCATCTGCTTTTCAGAATGAGACACAGAGTTCTTACAGAAGATGGATGATGAGAGGGATAGCAGAAATGCCCCTTTGCAGTAATATATGTAGTCTTGAGAACTCTGTCTCATAATTACGGTGATCCAGCAAAGCACTTGCATGTATGCTTACACTTAAACACGAGTCAACCCATTGAAGATGCAACTTAGGTAGGAAAAACATGTGAAGACAATGGGAATGCTCCATGTGTTTAAAGTTAAGTACGTGCTTAGGTGGTTTGATTAATTTAGGCCTGAGGAGAAGTCTAACTATAAGCACTGACATCATACACTCTTGCAAGAAGGGTACATTTACAGGGGACATTGCTCCTCCAGGCAAGATTAAGGGTTTGTAGGCCTCCAGTTGGATAGGGGACATTCTGGAGATCTTAGAACACCTGTGTGGAGGCTCTGCCCCTTTGCATTGCTCTCCAATTCCCCCAGCAGCATAACTCCTAAGGAAGTTGTGCTATTGCTTCCCCCTCCTATACCCATAGCTCTGTCTGTCTGGGGAAAGATGGCACAAGGGAGTATTTACTTCCAAGGGAAATGTCTGACAGAACTGCTGAGGAATGAAGCCATGTTTCGTACCTGTCCCCAAGCCACATTCCTTCATGGATTTAACCATTTGGGAGTCCCAAATACATACTGCTCTGGTGAAGGAGCTTCTGAGAAGAGGCGGACAATGCCATGTTGGCTCCTCTTCTTCCTTCTTCAGTTTCAGGGCTATTGAATTCATGACTGCCACTTCTTTCATCCCCTGTGTGCTTTAGGTCTGGAGATAGAAAGCCTTCACCCACCCATTACTAAGAACCCAATGCATCTCCCATTAAATATCAGAAAACTCCCACTGACTTAAATGGAAGTTAGACCAGGAGCTAGGTTAGGGAAATCTTGGAATAAAACTGCCTTGGCTCCTCTAAAATGTACACCTTTTGATTCAGCTTATTTCCAGGTTTCCCGTTTGACTGCTTCCCTCTTGTCAATGTGAATGAATGAGGAAGTTGTTAATCAACTTATTTGTGACTTGTAACATTTTGTCAGGGTTTTCTCCTGAGATTTTTCAGAAGTGTTCTAGCAGTAAAAAGAAAACCCAGATGAACTGTTGTCCCAGCCTCAGAAATGGTTTGCTTAGGTGCGGAGCCTTGAATAATAAAGGCATAAACTTCACATCGTTTTCATACAACATATGAAAAATAATCTTCAGAACAGGCAGAGACCTGGGACTTGCAGTTACCAAAAAATCATTAGAAATGAATGTTTTTTACATTTGGACAAAACAAAATAACTTGAAAGTAAAGATCAGAGCATGAAAATTAAGGCTCATCTACTTAAGCTTAATTTTTTGTTGAATAAGTAGAAACTGGGGGTTGACCTTTAAATGATAAATGGTCTTGTTCACCCCTTATAGCTTAAAACATGAAAAGAAAATGCTGGCATAATGGGAACCTGAGTTCCACACAGTCATCTTGGCAAGTTAAAGATTTAAGGCACAATTCTCCTCTATGATATTGCGCTCCCTACTTCCATGGAAAGCTGATGAGTTCTGTAGTTACAAGGGGAGCAGAATATAAATAAACTAAATTACTCCTCTGTCTGAGCTCAGCCAGTTGCGTCCCATATTGCAATTTGAGAGGAATACAAATGGCCAGTTATGCATAGGCAAAAAATAAGGCCCCAATCTTCAAATAGGTTATCTGTGGGTGGACTTTTATATCCCTATATAGCCCCATTAGTCAGGAGGGCCCTGCACAGACGTAAAAGTCTACCCCTGTGGATCCAACTGCCTGATCGTTGCCAGCAATATTTTTTTGTCAGCCAGCCAAATCTAATATCCAGGTTGTTTAAGAAGGTGCTCGTCCCAAAAAACAAATAAACAAAAATAATCAGTATTGGTAACAGTATTGTGCTTTTTTTTTTTTTATTGCAATACAGTAGAAACCAACCACATTTGAAATAACAAATCTGGTGATTGCTTTGAATGATATAGTTTCTCTTTGAATTTTCTTATGTGAATGTTTGCATTAATTTGTTGTTACAACTCAGACCTATTTGAAAGTGACTCATGAATCTGTGTTGTTAAATAAGGTGGATTTCCATTATTTAAAATGGCAAATAATTGGAAAATGGAGGTGTGTTTGGCATCTTTTATGTGAGATGTTTTTCTGACATTTTTAATGTGAATTCTAGCAATTGGGAGCAAACCTTATTATTTTTATTGACCATCTTGTTTATCTTATGAAAACTTACCTTTCTAAACATTTTGTTTATTATTTACCTGCATGAAATTGCACTTTATTCCTTCAGAGCTCATCTGAGTGAGGCATATATTGTATGAAAAGTAATAGACTATAGTTTATTGGATTGTTGACAATATGCCATAGAGAGCACCTCTAAAATTATATTCATGGTGCCTGTAATCATATTTACTGCATTCAGTTATGACTCTATTTCATTTACAGGATATGCTGTTGGAGCTGGCCACTTTCTGACATCAGCTAGTACAGAAGTAATTGGAGGAGCTCCCCAACAGGAGCAGACTGGTAAAGTAAGAGGTGCTTTGTTGTTGTTGTAACTTTTCCTCTTTGGATTGTTGCAATGGAAAGCTAAGAGAGTGGATTTCTGTGGTCCAGGGGAGCACAGAAAATTGGAGCTTCTCTGAGTTTGTGAGAAAGAATTAAAGGAAACACAGTGTGAAAGAGGGTCTTGCTTGTTCAGTGGTGCTAAGAAAGGATCAGGCAGGAGACATTGCATGACTGTATTTTATTTTGAATTGTGTGTGGTCTTTGTGCCTTTTGGGATTTGTCTTTTCTCTACAGCATATTTAGTATTTCATTTTTCTTACTGACAAACCGTAAGTGCAAAGAGTTGAAATTCTCCTATATTCTCTTCTTATTTTAGGCATACATTTTTAGCATTGGGACAAGGGCATTAAATATTCTGTCTGAACTAAAGGGTAAAAAGGTAACCTTTCATGTTGTTTTGGTACATATTATAACTTCTTGTGTGTTGTCTTAAAGATTTGATGACTATTCACTTCGTGTGTGTGTGTGTGTGTGTGTGCACAGCTTGGTTCTTATTTTGGAGCTGCTGTTTGCGCAGTGGATCTGAATACTGATGGCCTCTCAGACTTACTGGTTGGCGCTCCAATGCAAAGTAAAGTCCGAGAAGAAGGAAGGGTTTATGTTTACATCAACTCAGGTTCTGTAAGTGTGTCTTCTTTTTTTAATTCTGACTATTTAAAGTAATTCTTTTCTGCTTTGTTACAGGAACTCTGAGATGATGCATTTGAACTGCATGATTTACAGTACAACTATGTATTTTGCTAAAATACCACCATGAAAACTGGGATCTTAACTGAAACCTACTTTATGCTAGTATCAGGGAATATGGTAGAACAGCAGTATGATTTTGCATATGAATGTATCAAGTGCTAGCCACATCTACTGTAAATCTGCTGTTCATAAGAGAAAGTGTTAAAGTAGAAAGAGTGATTTCATAACTCGATATGCTAGTTAGTATGTTACTGCAGTCTATTTGCATGCACTCCGCAATTATATTGCTTATAACAGGGGTAGGCAACCTATGGCATGCGAGCTGATTTTCAGTGGCACTCACACTGCCCGGGTCCTGGCCACCGGTCCGGGGGGCTCTGCATTTTAATTTAATTTTAAATGAAGCTTCTTAAACATTTTAAAAACCTTATTTACTTTACATACAACAATAGTTTAGTTATATATTATAGACTTATAGAAAGAGACCTTCTAAAAATGTTAAAATCTGTTATTGGCATGCGAAACCTTAAATTAGGGTGAATAAATGAAGACTCGGCACACCACCTCTGAAAGGTTGCCGACCCATGGCTTATAATTTGAAAAACAGATATTTTACCTTGTTGAAAGCCATTCTTTTAACCACCAAAAAAGGGAACAGTTTGTGAACAGAATAGGTGCTGCTTCAAACTCAAACAACTTGCAGCTGAGTGAAAGCTGTGTAGTCACTAGTAGCATTCAGGAAAGAGAATGGTAGATCTCTTTATTCCCCATATTTTGGTAAATGAAATAACTGGAGTTATTATGTATTGGTATTCGTTTTTTCTATGCTTTTTAATCAGAGGTTAAAATGTAATCACTTTTTCCATTTTCATCTGCTTAGTTTTAATTTGTTAATTTTATTTTTAGAATTTTTATGCTCAATTATTTTCTCTCTCACATATGCATCTTCCATTATTGTTTTCTTACCACAATTATTGTCTTCATGAAGGGCTGGTTATTCCTTGATGCTTCCAAAGGTGCTTCCAGCTGTCCAAAGATCATGTTAAGTCTATGAAATAGGGAGTGAACTGAGATGGAATGGGAGATGGGAAGATGGCACTCCCTTTTAGCATGATGTTCTTTGTGGCACTGCAGTGATCTGTGTGCTGTTTTGATGTAGGCTTTTTATTGCACATAGATGTTCACCATTACAACAAATTGTTTCCCCCTTTTTAAAGAACAACTCTAGTATGAAAAGCGACTCTATTAACATTGCAGAGTCCTGTATATATTATTTTTAGTGATTTACATAACCAATGTGGTCAATTTAAGGAGTGAGATTTTGTTTCTGGCTACCTGCCTTGCATTATGAAAATTGCCCTGGTATATTAAAGTCAAACTGGGCTCAAGAGCCAGCTGTTTGTAGTAAACAATTATGTTGATGATTCACAAGAAGAGAATCCAGTTCCCTCTCTCTGAGTTGTGGTGACTGTTCAGGGCTAACAAGAGTAAAAAGTAGTTAACTTTTTTACTGAAATGTGCAAACGTGATTTTGAAAACACACAAGGATCAGGCCAATTTTACATGTTAATTTTTCAGCGCAGAGCCACACTTTAAGCTCCCTTTACTTGTGCAATTCATACATCCTATATCAGCCTTATGATTCAGAAATGTGTATTCTGAGATAGCATATTACTATCTTTGATAGCTTATGCACTGAAAAGGTCAACAACACGTCACTGGCAATCTCTTTTTTAATGTACATTTGTTTTTGTTTTCCTTTAGGGAGCAGAGATGCTAGAATTGGAGACAGAACTAGTTGGGAGTGACTCTTATGCAGCGAGGTTTGGCGAATCCATAGCTAATCTAGGAGACATTGATAATGATGGTTTTGAAGGTACTAATGAGTATATTTGTACTTCATGACAGCAATGTAATATAAATATGAGGAGTGACTGTTTCAGGAGATTGCTAATGGATGAAAGGGCCTTTCATTCTACACCTGTGTTCCGAATTTACTCCAGGTCCATAGTCATTACCATCTGATAACTCTTCTCCTGTGTGAAACAATAATGTGAGACCAGGTTGTAGTGAGTGTGTCCAAATTGTGTCTACCTGTCTCAGCAGAGAGGCCAAGGACTGAATGGATATTGAGGCTGAATTACCCTCTCACCTTTAGATGAAGTCCTTCCCTCCCTCACGTTGGTGAAACAAGGTTGCAAAGTTTACACTGCTGTTGCCTGTACTAGACCTGCTCAGAGGATAGAGAAATTCAGTCTCTGGGGTTGTCAAGCCAACTCCTCTAAAGAGCACTGTGTTCACATTAAAAAGAAACACCAACATGCGAGCTCTTCTGAAAATTGCAATTAAAGGGTCTACCACAGACAGTCTGAGCAACAATGGTTTTAATGGTCTTCTCTTACTTCTCTTCTGTCTAAAAGATCACCGTTAAAGAAATCTTCCTCCCCTTCTGTTCTAACCATGTCATCCCCTCCTTCAGCCCTTGAACTAGCTTAAGAAGTGGCTTTCAAACATTTGGTTTGGGTGGGAGGGGCTGCAGTTAGCTAAACCAAATGGGATGGACACCCCAGAGGAAAGAGAGGCTGAGGAGAGTGGGCTAAGTGGCAGCACTCATGTCTTTATACAGAACAGGAACAGTCCGTGTTTCCACTCCAGCAAGTCGAGTGTAGATCGCTACTCTCTATCAGCAGAGAAGGCAGGCAAGCAGACACCCGATGTGTGAGGGAAGAGGAAGTACTTCTCAGGAGTTCTCTGCTGGTTTCTTGGGTCCCCTTTATAAGCTCAGCCATAGGTTTTGCTTTTTTGTTCAAAGTTTAATCTATATAGGAGAAGCTAATCATGCCCAGGCCCAAGAACAGGCAACCTTTAATGTACTAGGTGTCTTTTTACCACATCAGATTCACCCTGCACCTACAACTTTGAATTTATCTCCTTTTATTCACCCTTCACTTCCTATACTTGTCTTGGTTCACTCTTCTTACTGCTCCTGTTATCTCACATTCTTGGCAGTACACTCGGTCATGCAGCCCCCTAATCTTGGAACAATCATCTTCTCATCCTCTGAGCACCCTCTCTCTTCTTTCAAGAATCTTTCCTCCTGTGCTTTCTTCCTCCTTCACCATTAATCTCCATAGCTGCATTTTTTCCTGTCCTTTCTTTGTTTTATATGCAAGCTCTCAGGACAGAGAAAACTTCTTACTCTGTTTAGAAACTGAGTTCTACCTTTCTGTGATTAATCTATACAAATGATGATGATAATTGGGAAAATATGGTATGTCAAATTAACATAATTTAAAGATAGGCCAGAAGTTTATGGTGTATAAAGAGATCATCATCATCATCATCATGCAAATAGTTATAATTTGTAATTCCAGTAGTGCCCACAATGTGCTAAGTGGAACGAGTTGTACAATCAAAAGCTGTAATAGGTAATCTAGCATAGAACAGATAACATAATAGGTAATATGACATAGAAGGGGTATGATAAGAGAGTTAGGGGAGATGAGACAGTGGAGGAGGAGGCGAGGCAACTTAAAACTGAGGAGGGAGAAAGTGGAGGAGATATTTCCTGTAAGAGAAAAACGGACATGGCAGAGAAATATAAAAACAACTCTTGAATGATGAAAGAGTTCATTTGTCTATAGGAAGTGCAAGGAAAAAGTATATGAAAGCTGTTTTTTTTTCTTTTCAGTAGTTTAAAACTCTATGAATCAATTAGTGAAGTCAGTTGGATGTACATTAGTGAATGAGTTTACCCCAAAGAATGTATGTTTAGTCTTAATTAGAAAGCACAACTGTCTGTCATATTTTCATCTAGTCAGAGAGAGGTAACATTTTAACCATTGAAGTATGGTACTGTATTAAATCAGAGAACTGTTCTACTGAACCTAGTCAGCAGAGACTTTCCTTTCGTGAGTTTTTTTGGTTTGGTTCCACTTATTTTATTACACTTTGCAAAGAATCAGATTGTTTGAGTGAAGCCAAAAATCTGTTCATTTCCCTTGGTGCATTTTGAACTCATGTACTTTGTAACTTTCTTTTTGGATCGTTTGCTCTGGCTATTTGAACAACTATGTTTGTGATTTAGGAACTAGTCTATTGCTATTCTTTCGCATCTGCACTCCCCATTGGAATTAAATCATGTAGGCATTCAACATATTACTTTGTTTAAAGCCAGTTACCTTAATTTCCCTGTTATATGCCCAAACAAGCATGTTAATGAGATGTTAAGCACATTTAAAAATAAGGAAAATTGACTTGTTTTAGACAAAGTAATAGCGTATAGCATGTGTTCACAGCTTTAATCGTTGTGGGAACAACAGAGGGCAGCAAAATTATCACAGTTTTAGCAATGGGAGGAGATCTTTTCTTTTTAAGGGCCATTGGTCATTTTGGCTATCACCCCTTATTACCGTTTAAAAATTAAATTTAACCTCTCTAACTTGGCGCAACTGCATTGACTTTGATGGCAGTAGTGTTTGAACTGGACAACGTGAATGTGGAACTTTTAGTGTGCACTAGCAAGCTCCATGTGGCCAGCTAATGAACACCAGAATTTACCCCTCTTTAGCATGAACTAATGCACTATGCAGACAAACCCTTCCCAGCTGAAGGGCTGTTTTCTTCGCACTTAGACTGAGTCCCCGTCCCATCTGTTGTCACCAAAGTCACTGTACCTCAAAATAACCATGTCTAGACAGGCATTCAGGCTGAACTGTTAGTGTAAAACAGGGCAGAAACCACACAGAAGCAGTACTATTGATACGGCTCTTTCTTTAAATCCTGAAGCCCCTTTTCAAACTTCGGATATTTCTGTGAGCCCCTCTATTTCCTCTTGGAAAAAAGACAAGAGCGAGCCTTCACTCTGAAGCATTACCAAAAAATGGGGCTCTGAAATCAAACTTACTAGTGTGAACCATGTACTTGGGCATAGGTCCACTGAGCCTCCATGCAGGCGTCTATTGTAGCGTGTCTGATTACAGCATCAGGGCTACATTTGTAAATATTTTACACATAAATTACAGCTATAAATGGATCTTCATGTGTCATAGGACCAATCCAGTCTGCTTCCTGTGCTCTTGCTGAATAGGTTATAAAATATGGAACCATCATACTCCTATCTGCTGGTCGGCAAGACATTTTATAAACTTGTAAAAGCAATATTTGACTCCTTAAATATAAACTTATCAACCTATACTGTCTCCCATACATGAAATATAAACAAATTCAAAATGAGAAAACTGTATAAAAACATTTTCTTGTTTATTGATTACATATCAATTCCCTGTATTAAAATAAAATCTTTCTACAGATGTTGCCATTGGGGCTCCCCAGGAAAATAATCTAGAAGGAGCAATTTATATATATAATGGCAGGAAGGATGGGATATCTTCATCCTTCTCGCAGGTATGGCTTTCTTGATATTCTCTTTAAAAAAAACATTGCCCAGTAAAGTATTTAAAATGATTACATTTATATTTCATTGGAGCAGGTTGTCAGCGTCACACAGGTCTACATTTAAAATGTGGCATGAGCACAGCTGCGCTGCTGTAGCACTTAAGTCAAGATGCTCCTATGCCGATGGGAGAGCTTCTCCCGTCAGCGTAGCTAATCCCCCTTCGCGGGAGACAGTAGTTATGACAACAGGAGAAGCTCTCCCGTCGACATACCGCTGTCTACACCAGGAGTTAGGTCGGTATAACTACGTTGCTTGGGGGTGTGGATTTTTCACACCCCTGCATGACGTAGTTATGCCGCTATAAGTCTGTAGTGTTGAGCTGGCCCATAGTGTGTTTCTCTTTGTATTGCCTAAGGGACAACTGAATATATTTGAGTTTTTGAATTTCTGACCTTTCACTTAGTATGTAGTTTTTATTTTGATCTCAACCTTGGCCATTTTTGCACATACATATTCCCAGTGTACTATGCTCAACAGAGGTTGGTTTTGTTAGCACTTCCACTGCAGTCATATATGACAGTTCTGGGTTCATGCTCACCATGCATATTTGGATGACTCATCCTATTTATCTACTGTATGTGTCTGGGAGTCCCAAACTGTTTGCTCAGGTCTATTCAATGAACAGTGATGGGAAATCCTGCCTCTTTGCTACTCTCTATTTGGCAATTCTTCTCAAGAGTTGGGATTTAGGTCCTTCATTTAAAGGGCCATAGCCTTCTTATAACAACTATATAGATCCAGTGGAGAAATCTGCTTTTTCTCAATGTAACAGAAATATCTGAATACATTGTAGTTCTCAGGCATGGATTATGGGATATAATATTTGCAACAAAGGAACCAATATTGGATTCAAATTTAATTAAACCGAAATCAAGAAGTGATTGGGATAAGGTGCAGAGTGGTTGTGCTACAGTTTCCCATTGGTTACCACCTAAAATGTTTGGAAAAGCTCATTTTCATTTAGGGCAGTCTTTTATTTTTCAGAGAATACAAGGACACAGACTCAGCAACACTTTAAGCATGTTTGGACAATCCATATCAAGTGGCATTGATGCAGATAACAATGGTTATCCAGGTGAATTAAACAGTCATTCCTATTCTTACTGTTTAAAGTAGTATAAATGAAATTAAATGTAAGCTGGTGGGGAAACAAACCAGGCATGCTACTCAGTATTTCTAACATAAATGAAGGAGCAAAAACTATGAGGGACAGGCCATCATTATAACAGTTTTGGAAGAGAAAAAAAGCAGTAAAGCTGAGGGCAAAAGGCAGTTTTTCTGTGGCAGATTAATTTCCTATTAGTTAAGGATCTCAGGCTTAAAACTAAATTTGTGGTACAGTAGAAGAGAAAATAACCATAATATCTGTTTGTAGTACTGACTGTAGTACTTCATCCAGTGATGTCACAATTTGACATTTATTACATCACCATTTTCAACATGCAGGTGACTGACGTCAGTCACTAAATTATGGAATTACGGAATAAATTAGGAAAGAGGATTTAATGTTTGTACTGGCAAAGTCTTGATAATCAACAAAGGTATTAAAGGAAATGACCAGGAGTGAAAGGTGTAGCACAGAACTTGTGGCCCAGGGGACTGGAGCAGCTCCCTGGAACCTTAAGTTATGGCAGCCTCTGCAAGGAGACATATGGATGGCCCCAATGCTGACATGCCCCTGTGCTTGGGCTTGAGAGAAGCTCCTCGGAGGAAAAGCGCCTCACTTGTTTTAGAGTTCCTTTATGCCAGAGAGTCCTTAGGGAAAGTTTTACTGCATAGAAGCAGAAACTCCATGGCTAGAGAGAGACATAGCAATATTTAGATCAGTGTTTCTCAAACTTTTGTACTGGTGACCCCTTTCACACAGCAAACCTGAGTGCAACCCCCCTTATAAATTAAAAACACTTTTTTTGTATTTAACACTATTATAAATGCTGGAGGGAAAGCGGGGTTTGGGGGTGGAGGCGGACAGCTCGTGACCCCTCATGTAATAACCTTGTGACCCCCAGTTTGAGAACCCCTGATCTAGATAAATGGTTCAAGTGAATACATCTATCAGAGACTTAAGTTCTTCTGCTTTGGTGCCATCTACTTTGTTCATTCACTATCTCCAAATAAAAGACTTTCTTGAGAGCCAGGATAAAATTTTCATAAGCACCCAAGTTACATTTTGAAAAGAGACTTACGCATTTAGGAGCCTAACTCTCATTGCAAGTCAATGGGACTTAGGCTCCTATGTCATTTAGACACATTTGAAAATTTTACCCTTAGACTAAGGCTCACAGAGTGACTTCACATTGTACCTTTACTCTGTCATGTGAACACTTTACATTTAATTTTAACGAGAATAATAATTCTGGGTTAGAGAAAAAGATGCAAATGCCTCTTATTTTAGCTGAATTGTACTTCAGCTTCAGTAAATTTTACTTTTAGTGGACTTTGAGTTGCAGCCTTAGCTATAGCATTAGCAATGGCAGGAACATTAACATGAAGCTTTAACAGAAAGTAAACAGATACTCATTGAGGAATCTGCATTGGAAATATCAATGATAGATAAAGTATCTCTCTGTGTATACATATTAGCATATCCCCTCTAATTAATAATGTGCAAATAGTGTTTTAATATAGTCCAAAAGGTAAATGTGCAGTAAGGTACTTACGCCTGAGAAGTGATTCTTTTTGACTAATGATGCGCATCTATCTTTGTTTTTTTGTACAGATGTAGCAGTTGGTGCCTTTCTCAACGATTCTGCCGTGCTGCTGAGGTAAGGCTGATACATTTCAGTGCTTAAAGACAGTTGGACTTAATTGTAAATTATGAGATGCAATTAAAAAATGTGTAATGTGCTAGTGACCTCTTAATGCTCTTTATGGTGTTTTGAACTTCAGTCATTAAGCACTAGAATTTTATTCTACACTGATGTATTTAAGTAAACACCTCTGAGCAAAAGGAAAGTGATATCCTGAAACTTCTTGGAGCAATAAAACCCTCACATTCAACATATAAAATTCTATTTTTATTCTTACAGTGTATAAGATAAGACACTATCATAAACATTATATTTGAAAATAACAGATGTGTGCAGAGGTAATTATAAATTCATGCTGAAGCATTTTGTGACCATAAACTGTTTTGTATTCTTAGAACAAGACCAGTGGTGGTTGTTGAAGCTTTTTTAAAACACCCTAATGCTGTAAATCGAACTAATTTGGAATGTGCGGAAAATGGCCAGCCTGCTGTGTGTGTGAATTTAATGCTTTGCTTTACCTATAAAGGACGAGACGTCCCTGGTTATGTTGGTAAGCTACTTGATAAATATTTTGTATTGAATACATGGTTCAGTTTCTATGCTGTAGACTATTTTACCATTTGGAATATAAACAAATACAGTGTTTGTAAAGTAATCCATCAACCTGAACACAGTAGGTATCACTATGAAAAATCACTAAAAAGCTATGGAAGTAGGATTAAGGAGAATAAACAATAATGCTTTAAGCATATATGGAACAGAAGAAATCCAAATAATGGTATGGGTCCAATACTAGACAAGAATGGTAAATTAACAATCATGATGCAGAAAAGGCAGAATTCCATAAATATTTCTGTTCTGTATTTGGAAAGAATGAGCATGTATTCATGTCTTACAGTGATAATTAAATACTTTTTGTTCCACCATCAACTGGGAAGGATATAAAACAGCAACTATTAAAATTAAACATTTGTAAATTAGTAGGACCAGATAATTTGCACCCAAAAAGTATAAAAAGAATTGGCAAAGGAGCTCTCTGAGCCACTAATGTTGATGTTTAACAGATCTCGAAACAACGGGGAAGTTCCAGTGGACTTGAACTAACAAAATTAACACCACTCTGGATGGTTTTATCAAAAATAGTTAGACTAATGTTTTTATGAGATTATGAGGATGGTTGATAAGGATAATTGTGTTGAAACAACGTACTTAGACTTCTTTAAGACATTTGACTCAGTGCTTCATGACATTCTGATAAAATATAGCACTCTACAAATTCAAGGCATCCCATATTAATGAATTAAAAATTGGTTAACTGATCGATCACAAAAAGTAATTGTAAATTGGGAATTGTCATTACATGGACGGTTTTCTAGTAAGGTCCCACAAGGTTCTATTCTCAGCCCAATGCTAATTAAATATATTTATCAATGATCCGGATAAAAATACAAAATTATCGATCATACAATTTTCTTATAACATAAAAGTTGGTGGAGTAATAAATAATGACGAGGACAGATGGGCTATACAGACTGACATAGATTGCTTGGTTAGGATGCCAAATGCAAGTTCATACATCTAAGAAGAAAGAATATAGGTCACACTTATAAGAAGGAGGATCCTGTCCTGGAAAGCAGTAACTCTGAAAAAGACTTGGGGGTCATGGCAGAGAACCAGTTGAACATGAGCTTCCTCATTCAATACTGTAGCAAAAAGGGTGAATGTGATCTTTGGATGTATAATCAGGAGAATACCAAGTAGGATTAGGAAGATATTACATCTGAATACACTGTTTCTGAATACACAGATAATTCCCTCTGTGGATGAGGGGAAAGCAGTGGATGTGTTATTCCTTGACTTTAGCAAAGCTTTTGATACCGTCTCCCACAGTATTCTTGCTGGCAAGGTAAAGTAGTATGGGCTGGATGAATGGACTATAAGGTGGATAGAAAGCTGTCTAGATCGTCGGGCTCAACGGGTAGTGATCAATGGCTCCATGTCTAGTTGGCAGCCAGTATCAAGCAGAGTGCCCCAAGGGTCGGTCCTGGGGCCGGTTTTGTTCAATATCTTCATTAATGATCTGGAGGATGGTGTGGACTGCACCCTCAGCAAGTTTGCAGATGACACTAAACTGGGAGGAGTTGTAGATACGATGGAGGGTAGGGATAGCATACAGAGGGATCTAGACAAACTAGAGGATTGGGCCAAAAGAAATCTGATGAGGTTCAAGAAGGACAAGTGCAGAGTCCTGCACTTAGGACGGAAGAATCCCATGCACTGCTACAGACTAGCGACCGAATGGCTAGGCAGCAGTTCTGTAGAAAAGGACCTAGGGGTTACAGTGGATGAGACGCTGGATATGAGTCGACAGTGTGCCCTTGTTGCCAAGAAGGCTGACGGCATTTTGGGCTGTATAAGTAGGGGCATTGCCAGCAGATCGAGGGACGTGATCATTCCCCTCTATTCGGCATTGGTGAGGCCTCATCTGGAGTACTGTGTCCAGTTTTGGGCCCCACACTACAAGAAGGATGTGGAAAAATTGGAGAGTCCAGCGGAGGGCAACAAAAATGATTAGGGGGCTGGAGCACATGACTTATGAGGAGAGGCTGAGGGAACTGGGATTGTTTAGTCTGCAGAAGAGAGGAATGAGGGGGGATTTGATAGCTGCTTTCAACTACCTGAAAGGGGGTTCCAAAGAGGATGGATCTAGACTGTTCTCAGTGGTAGCAGATGACAGAACAAGGAGTAATGGTCTCAAGTTGCAGTGGGGGAGGTTTAGGTTGGATATTGGGAAAAACATTTTCACTAGGAGGGTGGTGAAGCATTGGAATGGGTTACCTAGGGAGGTTTTTAAGGTCAGGCTTGACAAAGCCTTGGCTGGGATGATTTAGTTGGGGATTGGTCCTGCTTTAAGCAGGGGGTTGGACTAGATGACCTCCTGAGGTCCCTTCCAACTCTGATATTTTGATTCTATGATTCTCTATTATTCTATTTATGAGATCATAATTGGAACACTCTGTCCAAGTCTGGCCCATCATTTCAAAAAGGATGTTCACAAATTGGAAAGCTTCAGATAAGAAAAAAGCCTTAGAGTGAAAAACTAAAGAACAGGGGTGGGCAAACTTTTTGGCCCGAGGGCCACATCTGGATATGGAAATGATATGGTGGGCCATGAATGCTCACGGAATTGGGGTTGGGGTTCAGGAGGGGGTGAGGGCTCTGGCTGGGGTTTCAGACTGTGGAGTAGGGCCAGAAAAGAGGAGTTCAGGGTGTGGGAGGGGGTTCCGGGCTGGGGTGCGAGGGGTGAGAGCTCTGGCTGGAGGTGCGGGCTCTAGGGTGGGGCTGGAGATGAGGGGGTTGGGATGCAGGAGGGTGCTCCGGGCTGGGACTGAGCGGTTTGGAGGGCGGGATGCGGATCAGGACTGGGACTGAGGGGTTCGGAGAGTGGGAAGGGGATCAGGGCTGGGGTAGGGGGTTGGGGCACGGGAGAGACTCAAGGGTGTAGGCTTTGGGCGGCACTTACCTCAAGCAGCTCCCGGAAGCAGCGGTATGTCCCCCCTCTGTCTCCTACACGGAGGCGCGGCCAGGCGGCTCTGCGCGCTGCCCCATCTGCAGGCACCGCTCCTGCAGCCCCATTGGCTGCAGTTTCCGGCTAATGGGAGCTGTTGGGGCAGCGCCTGCAGACAGGGCAGCGTGTGGAGTCCCCTGGCTGCGCCTCTGCATAGGAACTGGAGGAGGGACATGCCGCTGCTTCCGGGAGCCGCAGCATGTGCTCGCGGAGTGGCCCCCCAACTCCGCTCCCCAGTGGGAGCTCAAGGGCCAGATTAAATCGGCTGGCGGGCTGTAGTTTGCCCACACGTGCTAAAGAAGCTCAATCAATTTAGTATATCTAAGAGAAAGTTAAGAGGTGGTTTGATCCCAGTTTACTAGTCCCTGCATGGGGAATAGATTTCTGATAGTAGATGGCTTTTTAATCTGCAGAAAAAGGTGTAACAAGATCCAATGTTTGGAAGCTGAAGCTAGACAAATTCAGACAAGAAATAAGGCACTGTTTTGTAATAGCAAGGATAGTTAACTATTGAAACAATTTATTTAGTGATGTGGTAAATTCTCTATTGCTTGAAGTCTTAAAATCAAGACTGGATGTTTTTTTAAAAGATATGCTATACCTCAAGCACAGGCCATAGGCTTGAAGCAGAAATTATTGGATGAGGTTCTTTGACCTGTTTTATGCAGGAGATCAGATTAGATCATTATAATGGTCCCTTCTGGCCTTAAAATCTATGAATATTTCATTAGCTACATTACTACTAAAAAAAGTCGCACACATTATATCAGAGGGGCAATCCTGTAGTTAAGGTTATAACTAGTTTTCTATTAATATGCCTGAATTTTTACCCTTAATCATCTAAACAAATAAAAGCTGTATAAGTTTTATCATAAGTGGTAGCAGAGTTGCTAGAGAATTTTTGAGAAAACTTATAACTAATCAGGCAAACGCCTTTTGAGATATGGGAGGTTTAAAAAACCTATACAGTTTTCAAAAAATTCAAAATTTTAAATTTTGGGGGCAGGTGGGGAGAAAATGGCTTATCTTCATAACAGGATGGTCTAGAGACTCTAAATTTGTTTTATTCTTCTATTCTCAATGAGAATTTGAGTGTTCAGGAAAAGTTACATTATTTATTTGGATTGATTATTTATTTTGGTATTTTGAAATTAACTCCAAACTTTCTTAGGTCCACTTCTGAGCCATCATACTTCTCCTGAGTTTAAGCAACTTTTTAAATCCTTAGTAGGACCAGCTAGGTTAAAGGACATAGCAGAATTGTCTATGTTAAAGTTCATAAAGAAGTACAAAGGCAAAGCAGTGTAATGGGGGTGAGGGTAGACCTTTGAATTGTTAACTTTGTACCTGTCACTGCTTCATAAGGACAAGGGCTCCAATCCAAACTCCTTCCCATCTGCCAAAAATGCTTCCTGGTCTAGCATGAAAAAGTGCTACACTTACTTTCCTAACCTTCCCTCGTTCACATAGTGCATCTGCGACCCTGTGTTTCACCTTATATGGGACCCACAAAACCTAGCGCCAGATTTGTGTGAAAAACTGCCATGCCCAAGGTCAGTTTGATTTAGTCCTGGATCGTCACATTGCAGGCAGGTAGGAAATTAGTGAAGGACAAATATCAATACTAAGTGAAGATCCATACTAGCTGACCAGCAGTAACATTGTTGGTCCTCTGGAAGCAGTCTCATCCAAGGCATTACTGAGCAGGATCGTACAGAAATGTTGCCCATCACAACCTTCCATAGTGCTATGGAGAAAATGCAGTATGAGATGCTGCCAACTTTGATGACTGAATGCATTGCTCTGCTCTTTAGTCAGTTAGGCAGAGAGAGAGAGAGAGAGAGCGAGAGATTCAAAAGCACAGAACAGGGAATCGCTCTTACAGAATTTGAGTTGGGTACACTTTTAGTTTTACTACACAAGTCCTTTTGTTATATGATTAAAGCGTTTAATTGTAACATGTAAAATGGTAGAAAAAATAAGAAAGGAGCTACTTAAATAATGCTGATTCTTTAAATATGTATAATTGCTTTGAAAAGTCTCCATGGGATCAAGAATTCACATGATGAACCTATCTGAAACAGCTTTTTTCCTTTCCAAATTTGACTAGATAGCATACATATTTCTTTTTTTATTGAAAAGAGTTGTTTGAAGAGAACACAATTACTATATTAAGTGAACTGAAATGCTTTAAAAATTAAAATAGTTTGTGTCTCCACGAGTAGAATATATAAGTATTGTAAGCATAACTACTAATAATTTTAAGGGTGAATTGAAAGGTTTGGAGTTCAGATTCCCGGAGTTTTGTGTTTGTCTGCAACAGTCCCCAATTCAGCATGCTTAAGAGTTAAGCACTGGCTTATGTACCCTTGTTGAATTCAGGCCTTGGGTAATAGTAATGGCAACAGGGGGAGAAGGAGCTACACAAAACCCAGAATACGTAAACTCAAGTCACAACAGAAATGAAACAATGAAGTATTAAAACAATGGTGTTCCAAAATTTGCTTGTGATTTGATTATCCACAGTGGTCTATTTGTGATTTAGGATATTACAGTTTTTTGTATTTATTTTAAATTAAATTTCAGTCATTGAATCTATTCTTGTCTACTGTTTGCTGAAATTTTAATGCCAGCTCTGTGACTAACTAACACTGGGTTTTCTCAGTCAGATTCTAGCTATATTTATGTAAATATAAAAACAATACACCCAAATCAGCCCTGGTGTAAATGCATGCAACTCCATTGATTTTAGTGGAGCCACGGGCTCATATTAGGGATGAGTTTGGCTCTGGGAGTCAGAAGGGAAATAATAAATTTAAGAGAATGTGTTATGTATCTGCATACATATGTTTTCTTTAAAAATTGTGAAGTTATTTTTTCCTTTTAAATTATAGCTTTGTGTATATTCCCAAAGGTTCAGAAATGCATTTAACATGATGCTCTTTAGAGCATTTTGAGACAGACATTATGTATCCAGCACTCCATTTGTAAGTGATGAGGTATAACTCCTATCATAAATTAGTGAAAATAAACATGTTTCAAAGATATTTTGTAAAAAGCTTTTACTTACTTGCTTTTTAATCTTGCAGTACTGCTTTATGACCTGAGCATAGATGTAAGCAGAAAAACAAACACTCCTGCAAGATTTTACTTTTCTTCTAATGGAACATCAGATATGGTCTCAGGAAGTATGGAGATTTACAACAGCAATGTTACCTGCAAAAGTCATCCAGCATTTTTGAAGGTAATGTAATCTTTAGTATCTATTTTGTTTAAAACAGTAACATTGTCATATGTGTAAGGGTATCTACCTACTTTTAAAAAAGTGTTTACATAGTCTATTTATGATACCCTCACCGAAATTAAAAAATAAAATGTCTGTCCTAGCAGATCATAACTTTGTCCATTACGTAAATGTTGAATCCCTCACACACCCACACACACACCCCGATTCTCCACCCTTTGCTGCTTAATGGATAAGTCAACGTGACTCTCTTGACTTTTTTAAGTGTGTGCCAGCATCGTTAATGTCAGCAGGAATGTGTACCTATTAACATTATGCAGATGTCTCCTCTAGGAGAATATAGGCATTCCTATATTTGGGGTGATAGTAGGATTTAAAAAATCTTGGTAATTATTTTTACCATTTCGACCCTATTTTAGGGAAGAGAGAGCAAGAGACAGATGGCAAACTTTGTGGCTACTAGGGGGGAAGTGGTAGATGTGGTATATCTTGACTTTAGTAAGGCTTTTGATACTGTCTCACATGACCTTCTCATAAACAGACTAGGGAAATGCAACCTAGATGGAGCAACTATAAGGTGGGGTGCATAACTGGTTGGAAAATCATTCCCAGAGAATAGTTATCAGTGGTTCACAGTCATGCTGGAAGGGCATAACAAGTGGGGTCCCACAGGGATCGGTTCTGGGTCCGGTTCTGTTCAATATCTTCATCAATGATTTAGATAATGGCTTAGAGAGTACACTTATAAAGTTTGCGGACGATACCAAGCTGGGAGGGGTTGCAAGTGCTTTGGAGGATAGGATTAAAATTCAAAATGATCTGGATAAACTGGAGAAATGGTCTGAAGTCAATAGGATGAAATTCAATAAGGACAAATGCAAAGTACTCCACTTAGGAAGAAACAATCAGTTGCACACATACAAAATGGGAAATGACTGCCTAGGAAGGAGTACTGTGGAAAGGGATCTGGGAGTCATAGTGGATCACAAGCTAAATATGAGTCAACAGTGTAACGCTGTTGCAAAAAAAGCAAACATCATTCTGGGATGTATTAGCAGGAGTATTGTAAGCAAGACACAAGAAGTAATTCTTCTGCTCTACTCCGCGCTGATTAGGCCTCAACTGGAGTATTGTCCAGTTCTGGGCACCACATTTCAGGAAAGATGTGGACAAATTGGAGAAAGTCCAGAGAAGAGCAACAAAAATGACTAAAGGTTTAGAAAACATGACCTATGAGGAAAGAGTGAAAAATGGGGTTTGTTTAGTCTGGAGAAGAGAAGACTGAGAGGGGACATAACAGTTTTCAAGTACATAAAAGGTTGTTACAAGGAGGAGGGAGAAAACTGTTCTTGTTAACCTCTGAGGATAGGACAAGAAACAATGGGCTTAAATTGCAGCAAGGGCGGTTTAGGTTGGAAATTAGGAAAAACTTTGTAACTGTCAGAGTGGTTAAGTACTGGAATAAATTGCCTAGGGAGGTTGTGCAATCTCCATCATTGAGGATTTTTAAGAGCAGGTTGGACAAATGCCTGTCAGGGATGGTATAGATAATGCTTAGTCCTGCCTTGAGTGCAGGGGACTGGACTAGATGACCTCTCGAGGTCCCTTCCAGTTCTATGATTCTATGTTTTAAGATATTGCACAGATTCACTATAGGTGCAAGAGAATCCTATATGTCAACATCTGATCAGTAGTGCTGAGCTGACTCAACAAATTACTGAAATGGTGTATTTAGACAGATTGGGATTTAAGGGTGTGCTGGTAAAATTTTGTGGGCCACGCTACGGTTTGATTTTTGCCTAATATTTTTGTTTACACATTTTAATTTTTTGGTAACATTTTAAAATAGAATTTTAATTATTAACTAACTTGGCCAAACTCATCCCTGGTGATACCAGCAGAGTTACACACAGGATAAATTTGTCTATTTGTCCACTATGTTTACATTGATTTTGTTTTTTCCTTTTAATATATATGTTGGTGTATCCTGACTCTGCTTTCAATATCTACATAATGTTTGCCTAAATTTAAATAATTTGTATGATTTACATATGTCAATAATTTGCATAGATGGCAGTAGGAGTAGCTGCTCCCTAGCTGCTGCAGCATACAACGCTCCTAGTACTCTTGGTAAGGGGGAAAGAAAGGGAGCACTAGGCTGTGCATCAACACTTGCAGAATCTGATTGGCTGATCTCTCCCATTCTTCCACCTTCTGGGAAAGAGCAGCCTATCAAAAGGGACTTCTCCATAGGTGAGGGTTCTCGTGACAGAACCGTAGCAGCCATCAGGGAATAACTGTACTGTCAACAGGTCCATACGCCACCATAGGAAATGGGCGCCACATCACCAGGTGATTTCTGTTCTCTCTCCAGAGATCAGAGGTTGCCTGTATAGACCAGGTGGTAGCTTATAAGGCTTTTGGACCCAGGTCTTTAGGCAAGAGTGAGCAGAAGCACAGATTAGTGCTCAGGTGGCGATACATAAATCAAGAATAGGCCAAGCTTAGTGAGTGTCATCATCCGTTGATCATCTGGCTGGTCCTGAAGCCCAGAAAAAGGGCTGAGCCCACCAGCCAAAACCTGGTTGCTCAGTGATCTAGTCCAGATCTGCATTTAGAATAGTTTATTTCCTATATATAATTGCATGAAGATAAAGGTTTCTTCAGGCGAGATCTACATAGGAATTTTGTGGGTGGTGCAACATAGATAACCATATTTTAATGTTTAGTCCTAACTTTGCATTGGGCCAGATTCTGCCACCCTTACTCACACTGAATAGACTCTAGCCCATTGGTAATAGCACACATGTGACGTGATCTCAGTGAGGCTGTCCAAATTTTGCATCACAGGACTCTTAGTCTATGGAATACAATATGCTTTGGATACATATGCATTGTCTGTGTGTGTGAAGTGCTGTGATGCTGTTTTATCCTCAGGTTAACTTAGAGAAACCTAAACCTAAAGGTGATTTTAAGATTTATATTAAAACTTTTCACAGTTATCACATTTCAATTAAAACATGTAATGGATAAACTATACATGCATGCTTATTTTGTCATTTAATTTGTGATTATATATAATTGATCTCATGTAAACTTTTCCCATAAATACTCCATTTCCTTTTAAATTCTTTAGTAGTAATATCAAGACTGCCCCCAGCACCTCACTGAGTCTTCTATGCCCGTATGAAGCTGTTAAAGTTAACTAAGTGTGAATGTCTGTCAAGTTCGGTCCTTACAGGAAAGCATGTACATTTTATATATTTTGAGTAAAGAATAATTAATAGCTAATTAGTATAATGAAAGTAATATACAGCAGATGCAGAGAAGACCTTGTGGAAAATTATTGTGAATTAGATAACATGTGATTTGGTCAAAGAAAGCTTGTAGATAAGAATGAAAGCAGTGGACATGTGGAGGGACAATCAGTGGCTGTCTATCTCAGATACCTAGGGAATAATTTAATCAAGTTTGCTATTGTAAAACTCAGTGCTTCAAGCTGTTCAGTTTTTACAAGTATATAACTTGGGATTTGGGCTTCGATTTGTGGCATTCCTACACGGTCAAGGTTTAATGTTGAAATTACGATTTATTTAGCAGTTTAATCATCTTAATGCAGAGTACAAAATATAAAGACAGGGGAACCCCCTCTCTCCGTCCCAGCTCCATATCCTATTTATGTGTACTCGCAGAGCCTTTTTAGACTTCTCAGAAATACCTGATCCATTGTGCCTGTCTGGGTTTGTCCCATTTGTCCATTGCCCTTCTCTTTCACCTACCCGTACTTGGAAAATGCAAAATTACTAAACTGTGACCATAAATATTTTAAAATAAAACAGTCAACCTGGTGCCAAAGAAAATTCTTTTGGTCTTCAACCAAATAAAGTTTCAATTAACAATTGTTGTTTAATCATAAAATACACTCTTCAGTTATGAAGTGACTGCTCTCATCTCATTATTGTTACCGAAAATTAGCTCAGAAGTCATGGAGAAGTAGGGAAGAAAAAGGTATATTCAAGGAAGAAGATTGCATTTCTGTGGTTTAGGAAGTGATTGTATAATGAAAATAGAGATAAACGTGCAGTGTTTTCTTTATATACATGTCTGTTTTATATGATTAACTCATTAGGTTTCCAATTTTCATAGAAAGATGTAAGGGATATCCTGACTCCTATACACATTGAAGCAACTTATCATCTTGGGCATCATGTTATACTGAAAAGAAGTGTGGAGGAATTCCCACCACTTGAACCAGTTCTTCAGCAGAGGAAAGAAAAAGACATTATAAAAAACAAGGTTAAGATATGGATATTTTTGTCTCAACTTCAACAAAATGAACACACGTAAATCATTATCTAGAGAAAATTTCACACAGTGCAGTATAACTAAGGAACACATTTTCTGAATTGGTGTCTAGATCTCATGGTGACAGGGACATTAAAAATGCCTTGATTTTATTAAATAAACCAGTAGGCTAAAACTAGAATGCTAAGTTTTGTCTAAAGGATGCATTGCTTACAGAACATATATCTAGTTTGTATTTTATATTTTTTACTCTAATGGTACATATGAAGTGGCACAGGATTATACTGAAGCACGTAATTATCTCTTATTAATTATATTCTCTTATTGTTTTAGGTATATTGGTGTTAGTACTAGACATTTTCTTACCAGTCTTCTAGTTTCACATGATCTGCTGAGTCAAATCCCAGCATGAATTGCATGTTAGATACCCAGCACGCTGCTTACGTTAATTTATACTCCATTATTTCAACAATGTTGATGAAGTATGTATTATCTCGAGCTACTCCCAAGTGTTCAAGCACAGTGATTGGAAAAACCATACATTACAGTATCATAATTAAGCTATTTCCCGCCCCTTCCCCCTCCTCCAGGAGCAAAAGTCAAAGTGTTCTTATGATTTGTAATTGGTATAATTAAATAACATTATTCTGACTCCTCACCAGTAATAAGTTTCACAAATTCAAAATAAATTGACAGCCAGAATTTTGAGATGCCTACGGTTTCTTCTAACTGGCAAAATATCCTTACTTGTGCTGTCCATCTCAATTTTCCATTTCTGGACCCACATACAGTTTTAACAAAAGAAAATCTTGCTGCGTGCCATACTGCAATACAGTGACATACACTTATTCTGTGGAACTTTAATAACCACAGCACTGACACAACCAACTCACATCACTACTGTCAAAGAAACCTAATATCACATAGGCAGTCTTTATTGAGAGAAACTGTGTAGCCTGGGTAGCTGCTGCCCTATCATAGGAGATTGCAGAACTGTCCCAGGAACTTCAGTCCCCTAAAATGCTTTGTCCTTGCATGTACCTTTTAGAATTGGCTGATCGTATCTCTATTGGCCCAAGAATGAGACCCTTAGCATGAGACAGAATGCTGTGTCTGTTATTCTATGTACAGTGCATGTGGCCAGAGAAATGGCAAGTCACCACCTGATTTAGCTCCTCCTTCAGTAGCAAGGGCTATTGGGCACTCATGATGCTTAGATAATAACATGGTGATACGTGCATTAGAATTACTTTGTACCTGTTACTGTGTACACACTGTTTTGAAATATTTTCACTTTTGTCATCTCTTCACAGATGGTTTTTGCAAGATTTTGTTCCAGAGAAAACTGTTCTGCTGACTTGAAAGTTTCTGGAAAACTTGCATTTCCAAAGTAAGTACAATATGACTTCTGTCTGCTGAATGAGACTGAGTAGGGCTTTATTTGTCTAATTTAGTTTTCCTTGCTATCTAGATAAAATTAATTTGCAAAAGTAGACTGAGTTCCCTAAGCAAACATTACAGGAATAAAAATTAGTTTCCAATTAAAGATTATTAAACAAGCAACCTTTCAGAAAGTATAACAGTAATGTATTTATACATGAGAACAGTTCTTTTTCAATTATACTCATATTACCAAAAAAGCATTTTGTTGTTCATAAAAATAAACGTTTGAATTTCTAATTCAGATGTACTGAGATGCATGTAACTCGCTGCACATCCAAAATTTAGACCCCTTCTAACTGACAAGAATTAAACTTTCTACTGCTGTTATGACAGTACTATACTTGCAGTGTACAAAAGGAAATACTTCATTTTTGTGCTAGCAGATTGCTGTATTTACTATTTCAATTATGAAATAAGGAAAAAGAACTACTTAAGAATATTCGCTGTACAGTTTAACACTAATGATCGAGGCACCAGATGGTTGGGCATTATGTGTGGTTTGGATTCTTTTCCCCTAGATATATTAGCTTGCATTTTCCAAGCTGAATTTCATTTTATAACTTTTCACCCATGTTCCTAATCTCTTTAGGTCCTTTGTAGTATTTCTTGGTCCACACAGGTGTTTGCAGCTCCTTCCAATTTGCTATCATCCTTAAATTTCATTATCATGCTAGACTATTAATTTTATTTAAATGTCATGACAGTTCATTAAGACTGGATCTCTGCAGAACTAAACACTCTTCCTCTGTGAGATACTATCATTACCCTTTATAGTCCTTCAGCTAGTTTTCAATTCACGTGACAGCGTTCCTACCCAGTGTGATTTGAATTCTTTTTTGAGTAAGATTTTAAAAGATCTGTTCATGCCATCTCCCTCCTCCTCTCCCCAAGTATGAGAGCATAAAAATGGCCATACTGGGTCAGACCAATAATTCACCTAACCCAGTATCCTGTCTTCACACAGTGACCAATGCCAGAAACTTCAGAGGGAATGAACAGAACAGGGCAATTATTGCATGATCCATCCCCTGTTGTCCAGTCCCAGCATCAGGCAATCACAGGCTTAGGGACACACACAGCATGGGGCTGAATCCATGACCATCTCTCTCACCAACAGTAGTTAGTCCAATAAAAGATATTACCTCACCCATCTTGTCTCTCTAATATCCTGGGACTGACATGGCTACAACAACACTGCATACATCTTGGGTAATAGCCATTGATGGACCTATCCTCCATGAACTTATCTAATTCTTTTTTGAATCCAGTAATACTTTGGCCTTCACAGCATCCCTTGGCAATGAGTTCCACAGGTTGATTGTGTGTGGTATGAAGAAGTAATTCCTTTTGTTTGTTTTTGTTTTAAATCTCCTGCCTATCAGTTTCATTGAGTTTCATGATTAGAACCTGGCTTCAGTGTCTCTTTGCAAACCTTGAGGGCTGAGAAATTTTATCTGCTGCATATCCCTGATACAACATGGAACTAGCTGCCTGATTAAACGTGGTTTTGTTTTATGAATATTCAGATTTTTACAGGTCCTATTGAATTGAGCTGCTAGTTTCATCTTGTAAAAATGGTACATAAATAATATTATAATCATGTTATTTTGATTAATGATTTCTATGTGATTCTGGGCACAAGCTTTTGAGTCTTCATGGATTTCAGAGTAAGATTCTTCTCCTTCCCTCAACCATTTTCTTAGGCTTTAAGATAGTACTGCTTGAAAAATTTTGCATTTTTCTAACGTAAAGGATTTGGAGTATTTTCACTAGCATTAATACAAGTTAAGCAGGTTTATAAATACCATTACATTTTACAGGATGGAAATAGAGTACAAGAATTTGTACCATCTTTTTCAACTAAAATAAATAGGCTACATATCTTGATAAAGTGTGAAATATCACCTTAAATTACTTTTTGCCCTAGTATCTTGATTAAAAACTGGTTAGCTGTGAAGCATTAATTTATTTTGTCTAGACAGAATGCATTCATTATCCAGGAACAGCAAAGCAAATGGTTTTTTGTTTGTTTGTTTTTGTTTGTTTTTTTAAGACAAATGTCTCCTAAATGAATGGAATTGTACAGGGGTTGTCACTGAAATACTTGACTCTTGTCCTTTACTTCTTGGGTTATGGTTCAGCATGTATGCACTACCTTGTTTTGTTTCTATTGCTTAGATTCTGGTCTGCTCTATAAATTTCAAATATGCATTATGCATGTTTTAATGAAGAATGAAATATGATTACCAGGGAAAAGCTCTAGTTCAGCTTTGTCACACTCCCAGATGTGCACCTGGTGCTTTATTGCACTTATGTACTAAGCTGGTGGGCATCTTTTTGACGGCACCTTGTTAATGAATCAAGTTGCAGTAAAATGTGTACCAGAAAAAGAGTAGAATAGCAATTATGTAAATGTGGTAAAATAACTTTAAAAGGTAAAGTGAACTGGAAATCCAACTACTGAAATGTTAACATTGTGTTTCTCTTTAATTTGATGTTGTCTTGGAACCTAGCTGCTTATGCAGTGCTTTCACCTTCTGTTGCTTGTCTAAGTGCCAACTTCTTTCCCAAAGGTGTTCAGTGACTAATGTTTGGTTTCAAGCCAGAATATTTGATAAATGCCTATTTCTAGGCAGCTCTTTTGCAAGTCTTAATTAAACTTTAATGTCAAACTGAAGTTTACTTTTAGAACCTCTTAGGTGCCTTCACTTGTAACATGATTATAGAACACTAGGTAGAACATAAAATAGGCATGTTCACTCACCTTCCTTTTGTCCTGTTTCACATTAGCTCAGTCCCATACCTCAATTGAAAGCTGAAGACTGCAGCCTTATGTAGCACATAGGGATATAAATACAAGGCTTTAATCATAAACATTTCCCTGTGTTTAAAAAAATCAATAATGCAGATCTCAATAGAAGGCAGAGAAAAACCCAACTAGTGAGACCAGAAACGCTCAACCATACATAAGCATTACAATTTATGCACATATTTATTGCCCTGTTGGAATGTTTCCTTAATAAAGTCAGTTGATATAGCCACCCTCATTCTAATGTTCTCCATTCTGGGTGAAATTCTCCTCTATGCAGAGGGCCTGCCAAGCTTTAACTTGAGGGCATAAGTGGTGCATAGACCTCATGTGGCTCCTCTGCAGAGGAGTAACTTCCCCTTAGAGATGCTGAAGCAGGAGGACATTCTTCTACATCTCTGTCTGGGACACAAGACCTAGCAAAAGAGTAAGCAGCATTCCTTACTAGTCATGCATCTCTGAACTAGCACTCCAATTACTCAGACCCTAAAAAGTGCAATGTAAATGAAACATTATGGTGGATTGAGTACTGTTTAAATAGTGGAAAACTGAGTTGCCTTCAGCTAGATGAGCAAATACCTATTTGACCAACAACCTCCAATTGGGCTTTTGCAAATACCTTACCACATTGAAAGAGTTTCGCTTTTTATTCCCCCCCTTTCTCCAGACACTCTCCTTTTTACTGAGGTCACTTGTCTCTGTACATGTTGTACATATCACTGGTTTTCTCATACAGTATAACATTTTAAATATATTCCTTATTTTTATAGACCTCATGAAAAGAAAACATATCTTTCAGTTGGAAGTATGAAGACTTTACTCTTGAATATATCTCTGAGCAATGCTGGAGATGATGCATATGAAACTGCCCTCCACATACAACTCCCTAAAGGTCTTTATTTTGTCAGAGTTCTAGAACTGGTAAGAATTGAAATTCTATGTCCTCATAATTCCTTGACCATTCTCACATTACCTGGACAGACCATACAGCTATGTCTACACTACAACTGAGAACAAGCTCCCAGCTGGGGTAGACGACTCATGCTAGTGGGGTTAACACTAGCACACTAAATATAGCTGTGTGGATGTTGTGGCACAAGTGGAGGCTCGAGTTACCCACCTGAGCTCAGACCCATGGGGTAGGGTTGACAAAAAAACCTCTAAGTAGGGAAAGCTGACAACACTCAAGATTTTCTGCTTAAAGCTTTAGTTAATCCATCCACAGAGTGGACACAGTTTAATCAAATTGGCCAAATTTTTTATTTAATAGTAAAGTTTTGCAGTAAATGAACAAAAGTAGTGACTTCTAAATGTATTTGGAAATACTAGTATTTAACCTCCCTCATAGATAAGTCCCTACTAAATTCATGGCAGTGAAAAATCTGGTCTCCTCCGTGAAATCCACTGGGGAGGGGCAGGAGCAGGACTGGGGGCGCCCTAGTTGGGACCCCTACCATGTGCTGGGCTCATGACCCACCTCTGGGAACATCCCCCGACTGCAGAAAGCTCCACACCCTCACCCCACTTCCTGCCCCCATTGCTCTCCAGCTGTGGGAGGGAGGGGGGATCACTGCACAGTGAGCAGCCGCGGAGATTCTTGCAGCCGGAGGAGGGTCCCAGAGGTGGGTTTGACCCAGCCCCGGGAGTGGCCCCTGCAGGAGAAGAGGAAGTCCTGTCCCTCCCCAGCCCCACCAGGACTAGCACCTTGACCCTGGTGCACAGTTGGAACAGCCCCCCCCCCGAGGTACCCCCAGACAGCAGCGCCAGAACCAGGAGGGCCAGGGGACTTTTTAACATGAGCAAAGTTTGTGGGGTAGGAGGCGGTGTTACCCCCCCTCCCCCAAACTGCAAGCCTTGGGCAGGCGCAGAGCCCCTGGCGGCGGCTTGCAGTTTGGAGGGCAACACCGCCCCTGCCCCCAAAACTATGCCCATATTAAAAAGTGAGGGGCATGGCCCCTCCCGTTCCAGCGCTGGTGGCACTTCTACAAAGGTTTCAGGAACCCTTGCCCCTGCTCCTCTCTGGCTCTAGGCTCAGCACTTTGGAGTTGAAGGGGCCTTGGTCTGGCTGCATGTGTTCGGGGAGGGGGACAGACCACAGCGCCCCCATGACCACATGGCCTTGGGCAGTCACCCACTCATAAGGCCAGCCCTGCCTCCCCAAAAAATGATGACCCCCCCCATACCACGTGACCCTCACGTCTGTGCTGCCCGCTGCCCAGTTCTGAAGGCAGTGCCCCCCAGCAGCAGCAGTGCAGAAGTAAGGGTGGCAATACTGTAACGCCATTACAATAGCTTTGCGATCCTCCCACAACCCTCTTTTGGGTCGGGACCCCCTTGGTTATAACACCATAAAATTTTAGATTTAAATATCTGAAATTGTGCAATTGATGATTGTTAAAATTCTATGACCATGAAATTGACCAAAATGGACCGTGAATTTGGTAAGTCCCTACTCCTAGTATCATAGAAATATAGGGCTGGAAAGGGGCTTCAAGAGATAATCTAATCCAGTGGTTTTCAACCTGGGGTCCGCCGACTATATCAGCGAAAGGTTATCATTATCATAGAACAGTGGTTTTCAACCTGTGGTCCACAGACCCCTGGGGGTCGGCCAATGACGTCCAAGATTTCCAAAGGAGTCCACACCACCAGTCAGAATTTTTAGGGAAATGAAAAAGGGTTGAAAACCATTGATCTAGTGCATCCCTCCACACCAAGGCAAGACTAAGGGCTTGTCTTCACTACCCGCCTGGATCGGCGGGTAGAAATCGATCTCTCGGGGATCGAATTATCGCGTCTCGTCAGGACGCGACAATCGATCCCCGAATCAACGCGCGTACTCCACCAGCCCAGGTAGGAGTAAGCGCCGTCGACGGGGGAGCCGCGGCAGTCGATTTGCCGCCGTCCTCACAGTGGGGTAAGTCGGATCAGATACGTCTAATTCAGCTACGCTATTTGGGTAGCTGAATTTGCATATCTTAAATCGACCCCCCCCAGTGTAGACCTAGCCTAAATGTACATAAACCATCCCTGAGAGATATTTGTCTATCCTGTTCTCCTGTTTTTAAAAACCTCCAGGGACTGATCCTCTGAGCTGTTCTCAGGAGGTACAGAGCACCTTGTTGGATCAGGCCTTTTTTTAAATTATTTTTTTAAAGAAAGCTGGAGGTGAATGGTAATCTTGCAAAGGAGATACAAAAATTCTTTCCCTCTAAATTCTTTTTATTATTTTGTTTAAAGAATTTACTTCTAAGATGTTTATACTGGACTTCTTATCTTTGAGAGGGTAATTTTAGACTTAAATAGGTTGACAATATACTTGCAAAGTCAACTCATTAACCAACAGAATATGAAGAAGTAACAAAATAATTTGATTGGTGCAAGGAATTGAGCAATATGGACTCATTGGACTAGTCAACTATTAGCAGCAGAAATATTTTGTAAATTCCCACTGATGTTCACTGAAACAGTACATACTCAAAAGTGAAATTTTATGGCATATATGTAGCTTGAAATTTCTGAAATAACTTTGATAAATGGTCATTAGATTCATCACTTAAAACTGTTACTGGTTTTTCATTCTTTAATTTTAGGAAGAAAAACAGATACATTGTGAAATATCAGATAAGGAAGCTCATGCAGTGAGACTTGACTGCAGTGTTGGGTATTTATATGTAGATCATCTGTCAAAGGTAAAATAAACCTGAAATTATTAATCTTTAAAACTATGTCTTGTTTTATGAGTAAGTGCTTAAAATGTATGACTTGGAAGGGGAAACTTTATATTACACACTCTACATAAGATCTGCTAAAGCTAGAATGAAAATGTTCAACAAATAAATTATTGCTCACCTTCTTCCTCTCTATACCATATTCGCCATCATGATAATTGAGAACCGGAGCTTCTCATAGTCATAGACTTGAATGGGCACAGCTCTAGGAATAGTTTATTAAGAGTTAACATTTTGTCAGATGTCTCATGACATCCCATTTCCTTTTGCTTTACTTCATTGAGGACACTATCCCCATTATTGCATTTATGGGAGGGTCTGAGTTTCTGTTAACAAGTCAAAGTTGAAATATCGCACTGAGACACCAAGGACAAGATATACACAACAGAATGCAGTTTATTGCACCTAAGTAGACACTTTGTAGGTATGCCAGTGTTTTTCTTTAAAGTAATAATAATAAAAACCCTTCATTCCATTATCAAGAAATTAGCCTTCTACAATTTATCTGAAACAATGCATTCAAATCAAATTAGTTATTACAATGTATCAAGAGCAGGCATATCGTATGTACTGTAATCTTGCTCACTTTATGGTGAACTGTACCAAGGAAGTCATTTAAATGTTACTTTTCTAGTTTTGTTCTTTTAACGGATATTGATGTGAAGTTACCATGTGTTTAAAAGGATTTTAACAATCAGAAAATGATTTTTTTAATCCAAAGATTCAATAACATCTCAGTTTTCAGTTACAAAGAGTATGAGAGGTATTTGTGTTTAAAAGCTTAGAGACAAAGTTTATTTGTCAGTCTGCCTCTTGTACTAGATTCACTAAAACATCTGTGCTTCTACCAACATAGCTTTCTTTCTGTTTAGTTCCTTGCCTGCTAACTAGGATTTAGTTGAATTGTTTCTGGCTGCAAGGATTGGCATCTTTGTCTGCACACAGATGTTAGAGCCTCTCTGTAAATCGGCCTGTAAGGGCCATTGTGTGAAAAAAGGTGGTCACTACCTTATTTTTTATTTAGCATCAGCAACATGCTAGGTATTTGAGACAGACAACACAGTCCCTGCCCTGAAGAGTTTATAGTTTTTTAGGTACAAATCATTTCAAGATTGTCTGTTCTGCTCAGGGGCAGCTTTAGGCATATTCTACATGAGGGAGTACGGGGGGCCACTATGACGACTCTCCAATAGGTCACTTCTATATGAATCTTCAAACTTAAAGGTTCCAAAAGGGTGTTTCCTGTTTCCTTTAACATATGTTCTCTTGTTAGCACAAATGTTGGATTTCATATGTCCCAGAATCCTTATTCATGTCAGTTCATTTAAAGCACTGTTCATTTAAGTCTGGGGTACTTTTAAAGACTGAGGCTGTGCTGTGCCTCTTGCACAGAGCCTGCAGCCCAGGATGCGCAGGGACTAAGGTGGCTATAATTCGTTTTTGCATAGTCTTGGTTTTGGGCTGCTCCAAGACCTGGAGTGGCCCTCAGTATAATTTCGATATGGCAGTCTGTCACCAGCTGCCTATGGGCCTAGAATCTCTGCAGTGCTGTGCTCTGTTGCCTTGCTCCCAGCATAGTCTTTCCTACACTAGGGCTTACAAGGGGTCTGGAGGTGACTTACTCAGTTCCTGTACCAGGGACCTGGCTGGATTGTGGTATTTTAGAATCCCTTTAACCTGCCATACAGAGGCTAGAGCAAAGGAGAGAATCTCATCCTTAGGCCAATGCTGAGCTCTTTTGAAAATCCCAACCTATCTCTGCTCCCTTTGAAGCATCTGGGAGCTGTACTGGGAACTTAAATGGGAGCAGAGTTAGATTAATGCTGAGTGCTTCTCAAAATTGCAGCCTGAAAGTTCTGCTGCAATTGGCCAAGCAGGAACAGAGTATCCTTTTGGAAGCAGATCGTATAGGGCAGGGGTTCTCAACCTTTTTCTTTCCAAGGCCCACCTGTGCGTCAACTGTTTTTCTGCATATAAAAGCCAAGGCTGACAGCAAGCAGGGCAGTTGCCTGAGCTCAGTTGCTCAGGCTTTTACATGTTCTTCAGCCCCAGGCAGCAGGGACCTATTTGCAGACCCCCGGGTGAGAACCACTGCTATAGGGGAGTGCATGTTAGAGGAAATGAAGGGAGCACCAAATCCTCTCTCCCACTTTGGGTGGAAATGTATTTAGGGCATGCTGTGACTATGCATTTAATCCGGAACTGGAACTTCGTCTATAGCACAATACATTTTCTGTACCTTAACCTTCCCTACAGATGTTTTGTAGGAAAGTGATTGGGTTGATTGAGATAACAAACAAAAGCATTATGCCCTAATGAACTGGGGGCTGAACTTGTGCAAAATATAATTCGGCGCACTCTAGAATTTTTCACAAAGGTTAAACATTTAAGAAGGAGGGAAATTTCAAATTAGTTTAATGATGTAACATTTCATCTTAAACATTTGTTAAGACACACCCAATCATTTAGCACAAACAGTGTTTCATTTGTTCTACAGATGGATTTTAGTTTTCTCTTGGATGCAAGCTCACTTACCAGGGCAGAAGATGACCTCACCATCACAGTTAATGCTACCTGGTAAATCTTGCTTGATAAAAATTGCTGCGTTTGATGAAAAATATCCCTAGCTTTGGAAAACGGAATAGGGAGCACAGCAAAGGCTTAATGAAGCACAACTAAAAGAAAGCTCATTTATTACATAAAATATAGAAAAACTGAAACCACAAAAAAGTAGATAATTGCTATTTAAATAATGAGATTTCTGCTAACATTGTCATAAAAATGATTTCTTACTGGCACATGGATAGTTACAAAAAAGTTATGTAAATAAGCTGCAAGGTGTATGTTTTATGTAATTTGTTATCTCTAGAGATAACACATTGTGTATGATGCATTCTAACACAGTTCCCCCTCCTCCCCCCGCTTACTTCTACAGTAAAAATGAAGAGGATAACGACCTGCTGTTGGATAACTCCATAGCTTTAGTCGTACCTCTGAAACATGAGGTTGAGCTAAATGTCCATGGGTAAGTAAGTTAATGGTTGCTCTGCATATCCATGTGCATAAGATTGTTGTTTATCCATTATTAAGGAACACATACCTCAGCTGAACTCCCATGATCTTCAGAGAGGAAGCATGGCCTAGTGAAAAATTGCAGTACAGGGAGTGGGAAGATCTAGATTTTATTCCAGGTTCTGCTGCAGACTTTGTGCTTCAGTTTGTCCCTCTAAAATGGGGGAAAAACCCCAAGAGGGCTGAGATTTAATATCCGAGGACTGATTCTTTGCTCTTCTATAACACCTTTTTCCATCATAGTGGTATTATTTGTTCCTGCTTTTCTGTCACTTAATCCTGTTTTCTGCAAAGGTGAACAAAAACTATATTTTAATCCTTTAGCCTATCAAATTCCATTTTGATAATTGCTCAGCCTTATGCTTTTCTGTGTAATTGTCCACTGCCTGAGTCAAACACATTGTCTTTTATACTCAACTATATTGACTGTTTGCTGTTCAGCTTGTCCCAGCTGGTGTTACTGCCTGTCACAAATTTGCCTATGAATAGATTTACTTTGTTCTGGGCAGACAGACCCCTCTAAACGGGGCCTGGGTTTGCCCAGCCCCACTGTACCATAATCATTGGCTTGCAGTCATGTAGCAGGAATGTCCAGGGATACTTTTTAAGTATCCTTTCCTTTGACTGTCACCTGTCATCAGGTGATGGCAAATGTAAAGGACACTTGGTATAAGGGCTTATAGAGAGGCTGCTTCAGAGGGTCAGGCTCAGCATATTTGAACTCTACTTCATATAGCAGGACACTTCTTTCAAACGAATGATGGGAAGGGGCAGTAACTGCTTCCACTATCTCCATTCCACTCTCCCACCACTTCCCTTGCCACCATATCCATCATTGCAGCCACTACAGGAATATTAACATTTTAGCTCTAGCATTTTTCATTTGAAGATCTCAGAAGTCTTTGGGGAAACTGACGCACAAGGTTGATGTTACTTGTAGATCTCTCAGAATCAGTGGCAAAGTTGGGAATAAACCCGTAATTCCTCATAACCTAACCACTGAATCATACTTGTGACGACTCTTTCTCTGAAGGTGGAGGGGACTGAAATCCCACTGGTAATGGAGAGGTAAATGAGTCAGATGTAAAAGATGAGTAGCCCCTTTGTCATAATTTCCCCCCTCCTTTATAAAAGCCCCTCTCTGAGTTGGGAATCAGTGGGGAGGGCTGGAGGATGATGATGATTCATCACTACCACATTGTGCCCACTCAATCCACAGAGATGTCCCGCCTAAATTAAAGCAGGCTTTACCCTTGACCTTCCCTACTGCAGGGCTGAGTTAGGTGCTAATTCAGACTTTCCAGTTCTGTAGTGACCTGCATAGACGACAGTCTGGCCTAGAGAGGATAATGCTCATATTAATATTGCATACTAAATAGTGTTAATTTTGTCCTATTGTAATTATTTTTTTTAACTACTGTAGATCTCTATCACCAGCTTCATTTGTTTATGGACCCAGTGAGGAAAATTCACCAATTAATTGCATGAAGGAGAAGATCAACTTCACTTTCCATGTAAGAGCTATTCTTTACAGAAACCATTCCTCTTTTTCTAAAAGTTAATTCTTAACAACAGATAAGACAAAAGGCACTTCCACCTCACCTTGTAACTTACTGGGAAAGCATTGCTCTTGTAAAGTGCTTAATATAGAAACAAATACATAAATCCTGGGATTGGTGAGAACTTCTGCATGTAGCTGTTAACAGAAGCAGCTCCCTAGATTCTTGGAATCCAAGTCCCAGTTTATATTTGTGGGTGTACCAATCAATATATACTTCCAGCGAGTGCTTTCAAAAAGCTTGAGAAAAATACACCTGTAGCACTAAATTTCCATCAACAATAATAGCTATTAACATCTGTAGGGAGTGTGCTCAGCTCACCAGATGGGGTGCCCCTACAAATTTTAGGCTTGGTTTCTCTCTGTCCATGAAGCCACCTTAGATCTAGTAAAGTGTGCTTGAAAAGCATAATCTATGCCCCTTACAGGTCAATAGAAACACGGCTATTGACTTCAATAGCAGCTGGATCAGTCACTAATTGAAGTTGGAGTTCCCTTTAAGGGTGCAAGCCATATTGAAAAGAACCTATCTCACTTAATTGCCTTTGAACACTTTCATAGCCTCCTATAGTCTTTGGTTCCTTATTCCTGTCACTTCTTTATGGCAAGTCCATTCATTCCAGGCCCCTGCTAACCACAGCCAGCATCTGTTAAGCACCTTTGACTGTCACCTTTATGGAGTGCTGCAGGTCAGGAAACTTTTGCTGCTCATTTGTTTCACATCAGAGGTCAGAATTTGACCCAGACATGCATGTGAGTTTCACTGGTTTAGACTGACAATAGACCTGGATGATGGAGGCAGGGGGAATTTTAAAAGACAGAAAGGGGAGCTAGGTGCCCAACTTCCATTCAAAGTCAATGGGAGCTGGGTACCTAACTCTCAGTTGGGCCTTTGATAATATCCTCCTTCACCCTGGCTTATAATTTTCAATGGGTTTTCTTAGACAGTACATATTTACTAAAGCAGGGGAGTCAGCTGTAAAACTACTTGTGATTTGTACTACATATCTGTTCACTGAACACAAGTGCTGCACAAGGAGCTGGTATACAGCAAGTACTGTGTGTACAGCATGGGGGGACTAGCTGGCTCTGGAGATTAGTAATAGGGTCTCTCTAGGTTACCAGTTCATATCCATCGCAGACTGGTGGATTAAAAGTCAATGAAAGTTGGGCACTTAGCTCCCTTAGACTCTTTTGAATATCCCACCTGAAGTGGTGAAATATGACCTCAGTTCAGCTCATAGCAGACAAATGTCATACCGCAAAGCTACCACTACCCCAAATGGCACTTTATTAGCAGAGTTAACAGAGAGAGAGAGAGAGAGCAAGGATTCAATATGGCTAGAAAATAAACTGCACTATCCTCTGTTGAGGTGCTTCCCTCTAGTTCACAGTCAAGTTTTATTGTCAAGCCAGCATTGGGAAGCCTCCATTGCGGCCATTGATGCTGTAAGTGTGTGAATTCTGTGTATTCATTTCTTGATTAGTGTATGTGAATGAAAGTTTCAATGACTGTAGCATGCTTTCTCCCAAGGTTATCAGTGCTGGACCCAGCATGGCTCCTGCTATAGCTTTGGAGATAATGGTTCCTAATTCTTTTGCACCAAGAGATGAAAAGCTGTTTAACATTCTGGATATCCAGGTATGCTTATTTTATTATATTATGATTTTACATACTGCTCTGTATGTAGTACATGAAAGTACAAAAGTAGATGGAGTACAACGGTGCTTGAAAAGGCATGTCTAAATTTTTCTTATTCAGCTACATTGTATGTGAAACTTGACTGTAACAATTAGTGTGAAACTTATTAATGTTGCCTAAATATTTTAATTCCTCTTATTTTAGTGCATCAACCAATTCTAAATGAATTAATAAACCAAACATGCACTCGTTTCAGAAATTGTCATGGGTATCGATGCTGAATTAGCAGAGAAGTAGAAATGCTGAATTAAAATATACTGAGGTATTCTACAAAAAGAGTCAAATAGCCTGGGGATCCTTACTTATACTGTGCCCACTTACAGTGAAATTGTGAATACACCTCTATCTCCATATAACGCTGTCCTCGGGAGACAAAAAATCTTACCATGTTATAGGTGAAACCGTGTTATATCAAACTTGCTTTGATCCACCGGAGTGCGCAGCCCCGCCCCCCCGGAGCACTGCTTTACCGCGTTCTATCCGAATTTGTGTTATATCGGGTGGTGTTACCTCAGGGTAGAGGTATACTTGTTACATTTAGGTTTAGTACATATCAGTATTCAATCTATGCTTTCTCTGAAATATACTAGCTAGTACATTAGACTCTGATTGGAGCCTCATTGAAGTTAGAGTCTCCACCTGCCTGGAGCTCAGTATTGGGCCAGTTTCTAAATTTTAAGGAGTGTTTCAGTCTATTTTCCCCATTCCTGGATTCAGTGTTACAGCACCGAAGATTTCTTGTAAAGAGTAGAATGCAGTATATTTTTAAGAGGGAAGTGTGAATTCCTACATTCCATAATCCTGTCCAATAAACCATCTGTTTTGGTTTTAGATTTTACTCACCATCAAAATCCTGCTAATTAGTTGATACCAGACAGCATGTCTGTTGCTGTACAGAACCCACAATACACAGTCCCTAATCTACAGATTTTTGCTGTTCTCTTGAATCTGTTAGAATGCATCGTAGCCTGCAGTTTTATTGACCTATTTATGTCTATCATAGTGGAGTCAAACAAGCAAATACCCATTTTAAAAACAGTTCTTTAATGTAATTCCATTACATTACAGGGGAATGGGTGGGTGTCTTAATTTCCCCTATTTATTTTTCCATCACACCTCTCTCTGGCTGAGTATGGCTCATTCCAGAAGCTTTCAGTACAATTCTTAGGGCATGTAAGAGGTAAGCAGGTAGTTCTGGTTAAGCAAACTGGGCTAGAATTGCACCCACTATGCCAAAGGTGCATTTCTCTCATACTCTAGAGAAATCATTTTCAAATACAGAAATTTTCTTTGAGTTTCTGCATGTACAGAAATGTCTTCACAGCAGTATCAGGAAATTTTTAAAACCCAGGAATGATTGTGCTGTTATTTCCAGACAGCTGATGGAGAATGTTTTTATAATAATTATACAAGAGACTGTACTTTACCAGAAAAAAATGGACACATGAACATATTAAAGGATCTCGTCATTTTCTTTTCAAAACCTACCAAGAGGCGAGTGGTAAGGGTCTTTTTTTGTTTGTTTGTTTGGTTTGTTTTTGGTTCATTCAGTCCCAATTTACTTAACCCTTGAAATAAACTGCATGAAGTTAACTCATATTATGCGTTACACATACTTTTCAGGATTGATTTTAGAAGTCCGTGGGAAATTATACTTTTTAAAAGACTGTTCCTTATTATACAAACATTTTTGGTCATAAGCAAAAAGGGATTAAATATTTTCAGTTTAGATCCCACTCATACAAATTACAGAATCACCTCATATTGCTCAAGAGAAGGCTGGAATATCAGACTTATTGTAGGTCAGAACTGGGAGGTAGTGGCCATCTTGTGTGAGGAAGTTTGCATAGGGCCCGTTTGTACTAGTCCTGAATGACGCTAGTGCTACTAGTTCATTTTTGAATACTAACTCTTTGCAAATACTTAAACCAGAATCAAATCTACAGTATGAATGATGTACAAGTTCGAAAGTGCCCTTATGGTTCTTAATAACTGGATCGATGTAAAACAAAACCTGCTGTAGCAACAAACAATTTACTTATCGACATGTTTTCAGAATTGCTCAACTCTCATTTAGATTCTTATATAGGAAATTATCTCCCTGGAAAATTCCTCACTTCCCCCCAATTGTGGCCACATGGTGTTTTGAAAACCTGACAGTCTCTGTGGTGAGTGTGATGCCGTGTGTGTAGCTCTTCTGTCGCCCAGTTTCTGGAACAGTTATTGATATTTACTGTAGGTAGCCTTGCATCTTGACCTCTTCAAGTGCAAAAAAAACAACACACATCTTTTTGACTAGATGCTAGAGGCCTTGATATTAACAAGAAAAAATAAACCATGCTGCGAAAGTTAAGTGTTGTATTTTTGCCTTTTTTCCTTCAAAGTACTGCATGAAGGAAGATCATTCATGTTTACGAATACTGTGTAAATTTGGAAACATGGAAAGCGGAAAAGAAACAATTGTCCGAATGCAACTAGAAGCTACTCCTTCAGTTTTAGAAATGGTAAATTGTATTTAAATTTTTAACCAGATAATTTTAAAAGGTTATTTGCTTTTTAATGACATCACATGGATTTGCAGCACCCTCTTGTGAACACTGCGCTATATTTCTAATTGACAGAAATAAATTGCACAATATTCATTTAATATATAAATCAAGTATTGTTAAATCCAACTTAATAATAATAATAATCAGTATACATGTTTTAGTTCAAATACCTCAGAACACTACAGAGAGGTATTTAAACGTAAGAGGGTTGCTGTACTCTAGTCTAACACGATTCAAACCTCTCAAAGTGACAGATGCTGTGGCTAAGTTGGCATATTATAACCAAAAAGCAAGCTCCATGATATACCTTTCACTTCAAGCTTATAATACTATAAAATGGTGATAGATTTGGTTTAATATTCCTGCACTATTGATAATTTAATTACAACAGTCACTAACAGGATATGATAACAGCTATCGGAATATACCTGCAGTTAAGCACATCAAAGCTTTTTTTGTCATAAACTGAAGCAGAGGAAAGATACCAGAGTGAATGGACCATTGGTGTCTTCAAGCATGACATTTCCTGGTCATACATATGTAAATTGGTTAAAGGGTGAATGATTGTTGTCTCATTATTCTAAACACAATTACTATCTGAATTTGTCTCTCTATGTGCTATAAACACTTTAGGTGATTTACAGAATGGTTTAGTGCTGTTTAGATAATAACTAAGAGCCATTTTAACACCTAGACAATTCCTGATAATGAATGGGACTTGTAGAAAATACAGCTAAATTGCCATATTTGCATAATTATAAATTAGATACTGCCTTTGATAAAAAGTAACTTAGGGTGTGGACAAAAATCCTCTTTATCATTAAGGAATACCTTATACAGCAGGTCAGCCATTAATACCTGGATCTCAGAAACTCTCTTGGTTGAAGTGATCACCACTAGGAATACAGCCTTCAGGGGAGTGGTGTTGCAGGGAACATTCTAATAATGGCACAGTGGTTTCATTAATTTGGTGAGTGTTAGATGCAAGTTCCAGGAAGGGGGCAGCTCTTGGACAAAAGGAAATGTGAAGAAAGCCTTTAAAATAGAAAACTGAACTCTGTTTGTCCCCCAGAAAATGTATCTACAGCTTTGTCAGTAGCTCAGTCCTTTAAAATATTTAGCTTTGATTAGCAATAGTGCATCGTTCCAAGTTAACTTGTCTAAATTTATACATACACAGACCTTTTGAGTTACTGGAGTACAGTTCTGTTCCTGGCTCTGTCACTGAGTTGTTTTGTAGATTAGGGCACCTACACATCAAGGTTTAATTCACTGTTTGAGGTCATCAGATAAAAGATGATAATATATTATAAAGTGTTACTGTATTTATGCAACTTGGCCTTTTTTCTTTTTTTTTTTAAACAGGATGAGGCATCATCACTTAAGTTTGAAATAAGTGCTACAGCATCACCAGAAAAAAATCCAAAAGTCATTGAACTACACAAGGAAAGGCAGATTGCACATGTAAGAATTCTTTACGTACACAAGTTGGTTAGCCCTCCCCCCTAAAAAAAATATATTCAAGAAAAATAGTACCACCTGAAGTTATAGAATTATGCACACATAGATATGTACATAATTGAATTAAATTGCAGTTAGTTAGGCAAATAGATCTATTTGTCATCATCTGAAGCAGAGATAAGATACCATTTATGGGAATATATACCATATGTAGATATTTAATGAATGCAATAATTACTACATTGTTATATTCTAATTTCATAAATTGTCTATTCTAAGCATACTAGTATTCTTACTTTAATGTTCCCCTACTTCATATAGGTCTTTCTGGAAGGACTACATAACCAAAAGCCAAAACCTCATGTTACCATGCTGATTATTGGGATAGGTTCAGTACTTGGCATTTTATTGTTTTTGCTTATAGTGCTGTTATTATGGAAGGTAGGATTCTTTTTCCTTTATCAATATTTCCCTATTATTTTCATTGACTCCTTTAAAAACAGGAATAATGTGCTTTATTGTGATCTAGACTTACTAAAGAATAACAAATCCTGGTATGATTAATTCCTTTTTTCAAAAAACCTCTTTAAATGTTTTTTCTTCATTTGTCCTTTTTACCCCATCTCAAGGATGGGGTAAAACTACATTGCATTAACTTACCTCTTTGAGATCTTCAACTCCTATACCCCAGGTTTCTTCCCCATATTTATGGGCCAGATTTGCATAATTTCCTTCCAGAAGTCAAACAAAAATTTTTGTAGGCTGCTGCTTCATGTTTTTGCTATTCTGATGGACACACAACAGAATGGTCTGCAATATTCCTAACAGAAAAGGTGAAGATGGTCTTGTTGCTTGCCAGCATTAAATATTTTAAATTCTAAGTTCTTATATATGAACACTAGGGGGCAAATCTTGCTCCCCACTGTTAGTAGGCATACAAGGTCCAGAAAAGATCTGATGGGGGTAAGGGATTGTTCACTCTGTGTACCCCTTGCTTGCCACACGCATTCCTTTTGTGCCATAGTAATGGAAGTTAGGGATTGTACATCTCTGAATGTGACTCCACTACTCCTTCTTCCCATGGAAGAGTACAGAAGTGTAACAAATGCTGGGATTCTATTATCATTCCATATCCTGTGTGGGAAGATTTTGATCTCTGGACTTCCACAGTTCACAGCCCATTTGCTCATATGGTGAATGAAGGGAAAGAATTAGCCCCATAGATGTAAAGTAATTTTTAGTAATGCTGTCTTTTGATATATTATATACCAATTGGGGAAAAAAAGCCTACATTTTAAAAAATTAGTTCATATTATCAAGATGACAATCATTTTAATCGTAACATCACTGTTACTCCCAAAACAGAGTAACAAGCTGATACTTAATCGCATATGCCAGCATGTCATCTTACACTTACTTTAAACAGTATAAAAGATTATTTTATTAAATCTGACTTATTAAGAATTTGCTGACACACACCAATTGATTTTGAAATTGTTTTTCAGAGTGGCTTCTTTAAAAGACGTTATCAACCTATCCCTCAAGAGCAGCCCAAAGAGGAAGTTGGAACTTCGTAAACAGCAATAAGGAGGACTACGATGACAATTAAAGGCTTCTTTCAAATGATGAATTTCAGGCTCAGTGTGACTTACATGATGAACAGTGATGAGAGAACTGATGATGAGTCTGTTTATTCTTTGTGTTAGAATATACATTTGATTTTGCTGATCTGTGGAGGATTACACCTAAATGTAGCATCATCTTACTAAAATACAAATGACAATCGGAACTTCAAATAAAGAAATGAATAGTAATATCTGAAATACCAGAAGTATCCATCTCTTCAAATGCATACAAGAACACTAAGCAGATAAAATGAAGAATTACTTACCCGAAGAAGAGTTCTTGGAAGATAGTACAGTATTATCAACCATTTTTGGGTAATGAGATCTCAATGGTTGGCCATGGGGTGACTCATAACTCAATTAGCTTTCAACTTTCATTTCATTTTTAACTAGAGACTTAGAGGAGATCCTCATCCCACTATGGCACCTTTACACTGGGTAAAAGGCCTGAAGTGGCCAAGGGAGGAAGCCTCCAGTGCATGCATTGTAGAAGACAGCCACAAGGCCTTCTGAACACTCCTGCAGGCTCTGGACTAGAGCACATAACTACAGCACTATAGAGGTCTTGGGTAGTCTTGTAGTCCATAGGACAGCCTGGGAGGCTGCTGTAATTTAGACAGACCTCCAGGGCTGTCTAAATTATGCCAGGGGCTTCTCCAGTTTCAGGGGAGTCCAGGACTGGGAGGATGCAAAGGTGGCTTTAAAACCACATTAGCTTTCCCGTTCTTGGGCTGGGAGTTCTGTGCTGAGCCTCTAAAAGGGGCAGCATAAAATCTTACCATTAATTGATGTGCATGGAAAGATTTTTTGTGCTGATCAGCATTGAAAACTCAATGTCCTGTCAAGGATGCATCACATTGAGGGTTACCTTGAAGAGTCAAACATTTGAGGCTATCAGTATCAACCATCCTTAACATAGTATTAGCTGATAAGGCCAGGAGCATACAGTTAATTCTGTTTCTCCCTCTTTCTCCTCAAACACCAAGAGCATGAGGTTTTGGAGCAAAATACATTCATGTGTTATCCTGAACAATTATTATTTGCAAGTGTTTCAATAATGCTCAGCATTATAGTATTTAAGGACACTTCCAGTAGCAGACAGAAGAGGCTCTGATGAAAATTTAAGAAAACCTTAACTCCATAGGGCTAATTCCATCCTTAGATGTGCAACCCCAGCCCAAAAGTTGCTATCCTCTGAAACCTGTATAATGAAATAGTTTGGATATCTAAATTCAGTTCTTAGTGGATATGTTTTCAGCTTAATGCCACCATTGCAATTGGCACTCAAGAGTGGCAGTAAAAAGGAAAAAACTGAATTTATATGCGGACTGAATTGCTCCTACAGGAGATCCCTTCAGATTCTTAGAAAGATACTAGCAATGCCACCTACTTTAAGTACACTGATACCTGTTTTAGGGGGGAAAGGATTTCATTCTCTGGGCTATGCACCATCTCATCCAAGTGCTAAATTCATCTTAAACTTACTCTCCCCTAGTAATGCCAACACATACTATTTCCTAGGCCTCGTCTTTGTCCTTTCTCTGCTGTCTTTCTGGACTGCTAGTAGAAAACTTAGTTCCAGCATCTTTTTTTTATGTAATAAATGTGGACATCACACAAACTGATTATGCAACATCATTTGGTAATAAAGCTCCAGAGTTAATAGCAACAAAAAGAACAGGAGTACTTGTGGCACCTTAGAGACTAACAAAGAGACTCCTGTTCTTTTTGCGGATACAGACTAACACGGCTGCTACTCTGAAAAATAGCAACAAAGATTGCCTTCAACAAATTATTTTGCTAATAGAGTTATATACATTTTTTCCAAAGTGGCTTTTTGACCTAGGCTAAAGAATCAAAAGGTAACAGAGCATGACTTTCCAGAGGGCCAAGCACCTGTAGTTTTCATTTACTTCAGTTGGTGTCATGGGTGCTTCCATACTTCTGAAAAACAGATCTCATCTCAAGGCATTGGCTTTCTGTTCTAAAATATTCTGCATTATATTAAGAACAAACAAATGTGTACATACAGAAAGAAGATCTTATTTTTAGAACAAAATGTGCTATGAGTGAAATATTTCATCCTTAAAAACTAAACTATTTGCAAAATGTATATTCTAAAAAGGACTTTTAAAGAGTATAGAGCCAAATGAATTATTGCACTTTAATCAAAACATATTTGAACAGGTATTCTAATATAGTGTGTTGTGAGAACTGTACCTCAAATACTGAAAGCAGCATTAAAATTGCTTTAATACAAACAATGCAAGGAAATTAGATTACAAAGGATTTTTTTGGAATTGCTTTAGTGAGTAACTAAATACACAAGTGTTACTTGGAAATTGCACATTGCTATTAGTATGTAAACATTGATCAGGTATTTCTCTGAGATAGGCAAAATTCAATTAATTTAATAAACAAACATTGAGGTTTAATCTAAATAAGTAAATGAAAAATGTGAATGTAAGATTTCCTGATGGCAGCATGTTTATTAATAAATGATCATTCAACTGAATTTTATAATAAAAACAACTGTGCACACTATCTTTTGCAAATTTAATTATTTTGTTGATAGAATTTGCAGAGGTAATAAAATAGTTAAATCTATAATGGTTTATGAAGATGGAATATCTTTAAAGAATCAAAGAAGAAATTCAGTTTTCAATACTCAAGCATAGTACTTTAATGCTTCTGGATTAATTATATAGCATCAAATTATTTTCAGTTATAGTGGCACAAATCTGGAGTAGCGCCATTCAAGTAACTAGTGACTTTTGTTTTACACCATTGTAATGGAGAGCAGAATTTGGTCCACTAGATTTACTTTGTAATCCACTATACTGCAGATTATGTGGCCAGTTACTACAGGCCAAATTCTGCCCACAGGTGCCTTGCATGCAGTTCCACTGACGTTAATGTGAGTATGAAGACAGAATTTGGTTCTATGTAATCTGCTCTTTTGTTTTTTGAAGATGAATAACCATTTGCTGGTGCTACTTGTGAAGGGAGTGGAGGAAGAAAGAAAATATCCATACTAATTTTTTGATTTAAGGTTGAGGTATAAAGATTATTATTATTAATTATAATTAATAATTATGAACCAAACTTCTGGTGTGTTCCTATAGTCCTCACTAATCCCATTTAAATACTTGGGCCCTAGTTCAGCAAAGACTTAGGCACATAGTGAAATCCGCATGACTTAAATGCTTAATGAATTGAGGCCTTAAAGACCAATGGGCAACAACGTCTGTGGTTTAGTCACAGGGAAATGCAGAGTTCCTCCCTCAGCCCTGGTTGGGATGCCTCATATCTTTAATCTAATGAATAAGGGCACACCCACATCTAAGCTCCTCCTCCTGCAGGTCAAGGAGGCTGACAAATCTGTCATGTTAGTTCCCACCAATCGCAATGCAGGGGATAGCCATGGTGCCATAACAAGTTCAATTCCCATGAAGGCTGGAATCCTAATCTGTACCAGTGTCATGCATAATTATTGCATTTACCATGTAATGTATAAAATTAATCTGTTTACATACCTACTTTCTACTAAATATGTGCACTATGAAAGTATCACTCAAAATCTAAAATTAGAAATCTTACTCAGCATTGTGCCTTATTCTAGCAAAAATTAATGCATTATGCTGATTACTACCCAATTTTACTAATATAGAAAATATTTAAAGTTTACTTTAAGATTAAAGTTTAAAACAAAGTAAGTTTGAACAAATGTTACATTCTAAGTGAATACTATTTGTAAAAGGAAAAGTAGCTTAAGACCTAGCTAGCCAATACTGAAAGCAAGCAAATTTTTACATCATCATTTAAGGTCAGAGATTATCTGGATATTGAAGGACCTGACAGAAGCCAAATTATGCCACCCCAACTCACAGTAAGTAGTACTTTACTCCAGGACTAGTTCTAGTGATATGAATTAGGGTTACCAGTGAAGTAAAATATGACTAGATACAACGAAGGGTAACCAAATCAAACCCCAAATTGAATTCAAACCCTGCAATATTCTGTTTAAAAAACTTGACTTTTTTTGCTGAAATTCTAGTAATCACTTTAACCAAATATATAATACCTACAAATAAGTATATTTGTCAATATATTTATTTTCAGGTTTTTTAAGGTTAAAACTATGAACATTTTGTTTGATAATTACAATTATTTTACTTGATAATTTTTTTAATATTGTTAGTTTTATATAAATATCCTAATTTCAGTCTCGGTCCTTCATCCATTGACTTCAGTGGATGAAGGAATGGGCCTTAAATAGCTGTTTAAAGATGAAAATATGAGTCTTTTATGCAGAGCCTGCACCATGAAACACATTTCTTCATAAATTTCTTCTACAGACAACTGCACATTGCTTTGGAATCATCCAGTTCATCAATGCTCACTCCATAAAGATTAATAAGTTGCGGGTGCACCCTAGAAAGTGAAGAAATAAAAATAAAGTAACTTAATAACTCTGTTGTAGTTTTTATGTGACATTTTCTTTGAGGAAAAATTTATATAATAAATTATAGGGAATAAAATTAAGCAGAATTACATGTAAGCTTCCTCCAGTCTTTTCTTTGGATTACTAAAAACTTCTGAGAGAATCTTTTTTTATTTTGGAGGTTCGGGTCAGAAAGGGCTATCATGATCCCTCTTTCATTCCCCCCACATGCGCACCCTGTGTTACAGTGAGCATCCCACCATCAGTTCCATGTTTTTGGTTGGCCATAGTGCTATTATTGGAGAATAAGCCAACTCCCCTTTCCATTCCAGGGATTGTTCAAATGCGTGTGTTCATGTATTTCCATTCCTTAACCATCAAGTAGCACTAACTATCCACAATCGAACAAGTTCTGTTGTATGGCACTACATATTTGGTTAACTCTGCAAATACACAAAAGGCAGGGTGGGCACTTCCAAGCAGCAGACTTAAGTCTGATCTCAGAATTCAGGGCCTGGCTGGTAGGGAGTTCATCTTGAACCTGTTTCTTCAAAAAAGGCCTTTTCAACCTGAAATAATGCCCACTGCATTATGAACCTAGTGTAATGACAACCTTCTTCTCTCCAGGATAAACATTGCTCACTTTGAACAATGTCAGCACCCCATATTGTGATATGGGGATTACAGAGTGAGCAACAGTAAAATATGAACATTTGCAGCATTCCCTATACAGCACTTATATGGGAATAATGTGGCAAATCTGTGATAATCGGTTAAACACCCAATTCACACTGGGCCCAGTTTTTTAGATTTTGTAAAATACAAACTTTTATAAAATGTTATGAGTTCAATAAAACAATCCTATACAAAAATTCTATTATTTTCAGCCTCGAGATTGATAGAAATTCTATTCTACCTGGTAACTATTTTTTTCTTGGACAATAGACAAAGCTGTCAACACTTATGCAGAAGACCCTTCTGTCCTCAACGCAGGGCAGTTGTATTGCCACAGTATTAATTGAATATACAATTTTAACATGCAAAGATAGACATGCAACGGCCATGCTGTGCTTGATTCTTCCCTCTAATAATCGGCGCAATCCTTTGTAATTGAAAAATGTAATTGCAGAAGCACATCTTCTAAGATATGCACTGATGTACTGCTGTATTATACTATTACATTCTTTTTCAGAACCATTTTAAATGGCATAATGCAGACCTGTCTGACATTTTTAGCAACAAATTTTCCTAAAGTCAGCTTTGTGGGGGAATGTTATCTCTTGTACACAAGAAAGAGAACAGTACAATAGGCCAAGTCTAGCAGGTGTTTTGCCTGACTACTCCTGCAGGCTGGATATCACATGTGATGGGCCAATAGTCTAGTTCAGCAAATCCTATGTTACTATGCTTAGCCTTACCGAACGTGAACCTCTGATGCTCCTTCCATTAAATCTCCATCTATATTCCAAGGATAATTCCCTTCTGCAGAAGTAGCATGCAAAAACACATTTTCTTCTGTGTCATGCCCAATTTTAGTTCTTGGTTGGATTTTTACTTCCTGAACTGCATAGGTCTCAACAAAGGGAAAATTAAACTAAAACAAACACAAATGTGTATTAAAGTCAAAGAGGTAACTAAAAATAGGTTCTTTACTGGTTAAAATTGTGAAATTAAAATCTTACTTTTTCTCCTTAAATACACTAGAACCTCAGACTTAAACTGACTGAAGTGTGTAACTTATGGAAGAAGAAGTGCAGAGAATATTTCCTACAATAAATCTTCCCAGGTACAAGAACTTCAAAACAGCTATTTACTTGGAGTACATAGAGCACAGTTTTATTTCCCAGCTTAATATTTGGACTATTTAAACATAAAGATCCTTAGGGGAAGTACTATGGCTTCCTCTGTGTTATGAAGTACCTATCATATTGTAGGCACTCAATTTCTATTATTCCCATGGTTTTAGATTTATATGAAAAATATAAAAGAAAAAAAAAAGTTAAATTTAGTTAATCGTAAACCATCAGACTTACAGCTTCTGAACATTTCATGGTAGTTTAGATCAAGAGACAATCATCTGAGCAATTTTTTTTTATTTTGGTACAGATTGGTAATGTCTGAGGCAGAGAAGCATCTGGAGTTGCCTAGAAGTGGATTTTTCTTGAGAAAGTATCCTCTAAGAAATTATAAAAAACACGAAAGAAGGATAAGGAAGACTGAGAT